ATGTCCACAACAAGTCGTGCGTCCACCGCGATCTCAAGCTCGAGAACATTCTCCTGGATAAACACGGCGATGTCAAGCTGGTTGACTTTGGCTTCACCCGCGAGTACGAGGGCAAGTCAAACTATCTACAAACATGGTGCGGGACAATTTGCTACAGTGCTCCGGAAATGCTCAAGGGCGAAAAGTATGCTGGTGAAAAAGTAGATGTTTGGAGTTTGGGCATCATTCTCTATGCCCTGTTGGTGGGCGAGCTGCCTTTTGACGACGACGATGAAATGGTTACCAAGACAAGAATCCTGAAAGAGGAGCCAAAATTTCCAGACTCCTTTCCTCCGCAGGCAAAGGAGTTGTGCCAGTCATTGCTTTCGAAACGACCGATTCTGCGTCCTACCTTAGCCGACATACTCCAGAACCCTTGGTTGTCGGAACATGCACCGCGCCAGCAGGAGACGCTAAAGCTGCAACAGCCGGCTCCCTTTTCCACCGAACTAGAGAAGGAGGTTTTGCAGCGTATGCGCGCTGCTGGAGTCGACATTGACATGGTGATTGAGAATGTATTGGCACAAAGATGTGACTCTCTCGCCGGTTGGTGGGCATTGTTGCTCGAGAAGGAAGAACGAAAAGCCAGGAGGAGAGAGCGGAAACGAAAAGAAAGGGAGGCAGAAGCGAAGAGTCTTCGACGGTTGAGTGCTGCAAGTAGTCGTCTCGACAAACTTGCGCCTACTATTAGGGAGACGGACGAAGAAGGGTACCACCTACCCCAAACACCAAAAAGTCGCGGTAGAACGGCCAACCGCAGCAGTTTACATGGTGAGTCAAGTAATTTTCTCAGTTAGGGAATGATGCTAACTTTGACTAGGTGCTCCAGAATTACCGCGTCTCCCAGAATCGCTTACTTCTCCCAACCTCACAATTGACGACAAGCCCCTACCTCCAATTGACCCTCCTCGAGGACGCAAATCACACTCTGCGTCACGGCCACCACTTCCTGCGAAAGATATCGATAGACGAAGATCACGTAGTAGCATGCTACAGGTTGTCTCCAACCCCGATCTCCTTTCACCAAACGGATTTGTACCCAAGCCGCGTCGGAAGCAGCCCATCATTGGCCATCTGCTATCCCTCCGCAATTGGATAAAAGAGACATCCAAGCGCGCACGGTCGCCAAACTCGAAAGCTAGTAGTGTGCAGTCACCAAAATTGCCCGAAAATAAGTCTCCAGAGGGAGGAAGACGAAGGCTTAACACAGCCAACCGGTCGTCTGTTTACACGAACCCAAAGTCACCGCCAATGGCACCGGCTTCTACGAGACCGCGGACCTCTACACACGGCTCAGGCTCTGTGAGACGACTATCAGCATCCCCAGCTCCATTGACACCACGGTCATCATACCGCCGGTCGTCTGGTGGTCTCCGAGGGCGCAAGTCCACATCATCATCCGTGTCTTCGATCCGCAGCATGCCGCACCACCACCACTCTCACAGCAAAGCCTCGTCAACCTCGTCGGCCTCACTCGCCTCCCCCGCCGTCTCAACATCCGGCCACTCGCACAAACCCTCCAAATCTCCCCATAACAGCATCAAAGTCCTACCTGCTACACCTACATCATCCTCTTTCCCCTCGAACATCCGCGTTGTCCGCTCCGGATATCCACCCGGCCTCAGCGAATCCAGCGCCGCATTTGGAAACGGCCACGCAATGCCTCCTCAATCCCCCGGCCTAGTCTTTGCCAAGCGCAAACGCAGCGTCTTCAAAGGCCCCATGCTCAACGTCAACACGGGCGTTGGCAACGGCAGCTCGGGAGGCGGTGGGTGGCGCAGCAGAAGCGGCGAGGGTGGTTCAGGAAGTCGTGGCACGAGTTCGCAGGGTAGACGCAGCGGCGAGATCCTGGGTATTACCGAGGAAGATGAGGAGGAAGAGGAGATTGAAGAGGTGGAAACATTTGGGGGTCGCTTAAGTGAAGGCGAGTTTGTAGAGGAGGTTTTAGGACCGCCTCTTACACCGCCGATGAAGGAGGAAAAGGAAATGGAAGTGGAGAAGGAGAAAGAGAAAGAGAAAGAGAAGGTTGAGGGTGCTTAAGGTGAGGGGATTTGAAGGTAAAAGTTGTTTTTGTTGCTGAGGTTTCTTCTTTTTCTTTCTTCATTTCTTGCCTGTGTGGTTGAGTTGATCGGATTAGACAATTGTTCGATTGTGGGGTTGTTGTTGTTGTAGATGTTGGTTTTTTTCCTTTACTTCTCCACCCTTTTTTCTTCTTCTTATTCTCATCATGGCATCATTCCCAGATCCCCGCATACGTTTTTTTCCTTTATCTACTCTTCTTATATCCCTTGGGTGTTTCTTCTGCCAATGTAGTAAGCCATCTTTCTTTCCTTTCTCTCTATCTCTCGTTTTGCATTGGCATCGTCACACTCATACAAGCATACCCTTTGGCGTCTATAGGTTTTCCCCTTNCCCCCCCCCCCCTTCTTTTCTTAATCTGCGCGAAAAAAAATTGATAGTTCGGTAACTTTTTCACATAGCCACATTCTGTCTCTCGTATCTCTCCCCTCGTAAAATGAATGTCATCACGCAGATCGATAAACATAGTGCTGACATGTTAACTCACCGACATGAGGTTAAATACCCGGAACCTCCCGAACCCAATCTCCCGGAATCGATATTTTACATGAAAAAAAAAGGGTAGCAATCGGTCGTGAGGAGCTATGAACTTACTCCAAATCGTTGTCTCCAACTTTTGTCATACACATACATACATACATACATGCATACATACACACATACGCAATCACCAGGGGTGGGTTACGCAAGCAAGCAAAAAAAAGAAGCGGTGAAGTCAGGACCCGGAAAGTTCATCACGTATCCTCCTCTCTCCCCCCTTTTTTTTGCGAAAGAGGAAAATGCTACATCGATGTAATCAATAAAGGTGTTTTTTGTGTGTCACGGTGTACAACAGCATCTTCTTCCTATTAAATTTTTTTACTGAAAAGCCAGGGTAAGGGGGAGTGGAGAAGAGGCAAAGCACGCAAACAAAGTCATCCCCCTCCCATGATAAAGTAAATGATTTACATACCTTGCTTCAGTGGTAACAGTAAGCAATCGTAAGTGGACTGACTTTATGTACGTGACTGAACCAGGGGGTGTGATAGAGTGGTTCCGCCAAAAAAATAATGCATGCGGTGTTTGATAATTACCACTTGTAAATAATCGGGAGAATTGAGTAAGTAAGAGGGAAAGGAGAAAAAAAAGTTAGACACGCAATTCCCGTGTCCCTAGACTGAACGAGCAATTAGCAATTACAGATATAGTGATAGTTCACTTGGGATTCATACAAAGGAAGAAAAAAGAAAAAGAAAAAGGAAAATACGCGTTAGTTTAGTAAAAAGACAGGATTGAAAGGAACCCGAAAAAGGAAACCCAATCACATGCCGCAAGACCGTTTTTTTTTGGGTTTTTTGGTTGTAACGGTGAGCTCGGGTAAAAAGCAAAAAGGTGGAGGGAAAAAAAACGGTGCCAGTGGGTTGTTACACACGAATGGGGGGTAAGTAAATCACATGTGCGTGCGTGTGCGTGCCGTGCACGGGGCCGCAGAAACGCCATGTTAGTTCTCCGTGTCTACTCTCTCTCTGTGTCGCGCTCCCTTTTTTTTCCTGGAACTTGGGACACATATTGCCCAGGGGGGGAACGTTTGTGCGGGAACGCGGATCGACATATGGGAATCACGCTGGGGGGGGGGGGGGGGGGCAAGATCGAATATCATCTTGGGAGTATCAATAATAATACGTGATAATGGGTGTTCCTGTTTGCCCGCCATTATCGTTTATTTTGTGTTCAACAAGAGAGAGTTTAATGAGGGTATTGGCAATTGGTATTACAACAGTAGGTGGTAGACGAGTGGTGAGCCGCCGATCTCGCCACTTGCGTCAGAAGAACGGCGACCTTGAACCTGCATGTGCAAACCCAAGTGCAGTTGCATAAGCCCCAAATGATTGCTGGAGGCGGTAATTATTTATTCTGGCCCTTGGAAAAAGGCGCCTGCGGCTACGGAGTTTACATAAAAGAAAAAGGGCAAGGTTATGGCATGGGTAATCTGTCGATCATTTTCGGGGCGAACTTGTTCAGGGGAGGGTGGGAACGCGACGAGTACGTATATACGAATGAAGTTTCTCTAACATGTGCATGAGATTGGCTTTTGTCCGGGTTGCAGAGGCACGTAATGGCATTAGCTATTTGGGCCGGGACACAGTAGAGATATTATGAGGGGAATTGCATGGAGGGCCGCCCGGTGGTGGCTGGCCTTATCAATTGGGCGTGCCACTGACCTAACCGGCATGGGAAGGCATACCAAAAGTGGTTGGCGTCTGATTCATGCCGTCTGCCGAGCAACGTCCCGTAAGCGGGCATTGCGATAGCAATGGCAAGACTGACATCTGTCTCTGTCGTGTTCTTGTTTCTGTAAGCGAAATGGCAGAGACGAAAGAGATGGTGGCTAGGCCCGTGATGGATGGTGAGACGATTAGTGCTCGGGCTTGATAAGAGAGAAAGTGGGGGGCCAAAGGATGGAAATCACGGTTGGCCTTGTGTGAGAGAGTGTGTGTTGTGGGTTGAGATGCGCGAAGCTGTGTGTTTGATTCCCGACGAGGTTGCGCGGGGCTGGCACGGAGGGAGAGTGGTGGTTGTTGGAGACGGGCCGTTGTCGGGCGGATTGCGAGCATGTGCGCTTAGGTAAGGCGAAGCACGTTTTATTGTGGCGTGGTGTTGGACAGACCGAGGATGGTTTTATGAAGCGGGAGAGGGATGAAGCAGCTACTGACGAATTGTGGACCGTACCTGCATGTGATGGCGGCTGTCAAGGGCCATGGCCGAGTGTGTAAGAGGCAATGAGATTTTAGCCGTCCCACCACGACGCGCTGCAAAGGAGCATGCATCCATCGTGGGCCGGGTAGGACGGGTTCTGGAAAGTCGGATGGATGCAATCTTGCAATGGATGGTGGCTGTCCATATCAGTTGGTGTGGGTGTTGGATGGGAGGGAGGGAGGTGAGGGGCAAGCCACCGCCCACCCAGCCGTGACTCGACCGTCCGACGAGCACATGGCGATAAGGGCGACCGGTAGCATAGACAGACACCGAGGCCGTCTGGTAGCGCCGGCGGCCACGCGAGCCGCAAATCTGGAGCAATGAGAGAATCCAGCTAGGCGACCGAGATTGGCTGTTTTTGGCGCCATCCGCTCGAACGGCTGGAGGTTAGTGGAGGCGACGAGGCCAAGCACGGCTGGCTGGCTCAAGGCTAAAAACAGCTGGCACATGGACATGGCCGCAGCATGGCGAGAGGAGGGATACGAAGACGAAGAAGAAGACGAAGAAGAAGAAGACAGAGAATACGAGGTTGGATGTGATATCATCTGTATATGCGCACATGGATACTTGGACCCATCCACACACCACGTCCAGACGGCGATGCGCGGTGATGTGAATTGCCCTCACCCCAGCCCACTTGCATGAATGGACATGGCACCCCCACTACCTGGTCAATCCATATCCAGCCCTTCCCAGCAACTTGGGCCTGCCTCGACCATCCCTGACCCTTGGCCCCGGACTGACATGTCTAGTGTGCCATGTATGTACACTCTTACCGACACATCCAGTTAGTGACCGGTACGCTCAGAGCTGCCTTGCCCGTCAGCACCACGGCCTGCTCTCATAAGTAATAACCCAGTCCCTGCGCCCGCTCGCCCGGGACAAAAAAGCAATCGGTTCCATCTCAGTCTCCGCAACTTGCAGCGACACCGACCACCGTGCAGAATCGCCTCGCACCTGTCCCTCTTTTGCGCTGCCTGTTCTGCCTTGTGTCGCCTGTCTGGCTGCCCTGTGCCGTCCTGTCCGGCGCCCTGCTGCCTTGCCCGACCCCCCGATGACCATGGACGACGACATGTACGGCACCGAAAAGAGCTTTGGGAGAGCCTCGCAGGGATCCGACTACTATGGCGAGTCCTCTCGCTACAATGAAGGCCTCGGCCGCCGCATGCTCGACAGCTTCAAGCGGGACCCCAACTTCGCCATGACCATGACGCCAAAGACAACCGTCGGCGCTGATAGCAACATGTTTGATCCAGAGGCTGCTGCAACAAATACTGCAAACTCGCCACTTGCTCGAAGGCTCAAGGGTCGCCACTTGCAGATGATAGCCATCGGAGGTTCCATTGGTAAGCATGCCTTCCTCTCCCACCCAACCACCTCGTCCATCCGCTGATTACGAACCCATCAAAAAAGGTACCGGTCTGTTTGTCGGCTCTGGTCAGGCACTAGCAAATGGTGGTCCAGCATCGCTCGTCATATGCTACTGTCTCGTCGGTGTCATGCTCTACACCACCGTCCACGCACTGGGCGAAATGGCCGTCCTCTTTCCCGTTGCTGGTTCCTTCTCCGCATACTCGACACGCTTCCTGGATCCCGCCTGGGGCTTTGCCATGGGCTGGAACTACGCTCTGCAATGGCTTGTTGTGCTCCCCCTCGAGATTGTCGCTGCCACCTTCACTATTGAGTATTGGAACGGCGACGCCGTCAACAACAACGCATGGGTCGCCATCTTCTTGGTCCTGATTGTCGTCATCAACTTGTTTGGTATCAAGGGATATGGAGAGGCTGAGTTCGTCTTTGCTATCGTCAAAATCACCGCAGTTATTGGCTTCATCATCCTCGGAATCATCATCAACATTGGCGGCGGTCCAGACGGCGGCTACATTGGAGGAAAGTACTGGCGGGACCCAGGACCCTTCAACAACGGCTTCAAAGGACTCTGCAGCGTTTTCGTCAATGCTGCCTTTGCCTTTTCCGGTACTGAGCTCGTCGGTCTTGCTGCTGCTGAAACGGCCAATCCGCGCAAGTCGCTTCCCACGGCCGTCAAGCAAGTCTTTTGGCGAATCTCCCTCTTCTACATTGTTTCGCTCACTGTCGTCGGTCTGCTCGTGCCATACAACAACCCACGCCTCCTCCAGGACAAGAACAACGTCGACGCCGTCGCCTCTCCCTTTGTCATTGCCATCCAGAATGCCGGTATCGAAGGTTTGCCCTCCGTCTTCAACGCCGTCATCATGATCGCTGTCCTCTCCGTCGGCAACTCGTCCATCTACGGTTCCTCACGCACACTCGCAGCGTTGGCTGAACAGAACCAAGCCCCCAGAATCTTTGCGTACATTGACCGTCAAGGCCGCCCTCTCGTTTCCATCGCTTTCGCCTCTTCCCTCGGCCTCCTCGCCTTCCTCGCTGGAGCAGAACGCCGCCTCCAAGACGCAGCCTTCAACTGGCTCCTCGCCCTTTCCGCCCTCTCCGCCGTCTTCACCTGGGCCTCCATCTGCCTCGCACACATCCGCTTCCGCCAGGGCTGGAAAGTCCAAGGCCACAGCCTCAGCGAACTCGCCTTCCGCTCGCAACCGGGCCTCATTGGCTCCTACATCGGCTTCGGCCTCAACATCCTCGTCCTCGTCGCCCAGTTCTACGTCTCCATCGCTCCAATCGACATGGCCGTTCTGTCCACCTCCCAGCGCCTCCAACGCTTCTTCAGCGTCTACCTTGCCCTCCCCGTTACACTGGCTTTTTATTTTCCTTACAAGTTCTGGTTCCGCACTTCGGTCGTTCGTTCGCACAACATGGATCTCGTCACGGGTATCAGGGAACTCAACATCCAGGCTCTGATCGAGGAAGAGCGTGAAGAAAAGAAGAAGTGGCCTAGGTGGAAGAAGGTCTACAAGTTCTTCTGTTGATATATGTAATCCTCCCGGCATATTTTTCTTTTTCCCTCGTCATATTTTCTTTTGACACAGCCGACTTTCTCCTTTTTTTTACCAGCGTTTAGCGACATGGCGCCTTACATTTACTTACCCACATATCTTTTCCCTTCTTGTGTTTTGCGGTGCTCCTCTGTGGTACCAGGCGGCATGTCGCCCTCTCCATCCGGGCACTTGCGCAGCCTTGCGAACCTCCTCTTTTTTTTTACTCATCTTCTTTTTATCTATGCTTTCACTTAGATATAGGGGATCTATATAGTAATCCGTAACTCGACCATATCAAGCTGCGTTATACCAGCAAAAAAGGCTACAACAAAAAATTTCAAACTCATATCAAAAAGAACAACTGTCTGTACCTCTTGTCGTTCCCAGTGCATAAGTTAGAAAAAATGGTTAGAAAAGCAAAAAAAGGATAAGACGATGAGGTCTTGCCCGGAATCGAACCGGGGTTGCCGGAAGACTCTGACGCCTGAATCAGAATCCGGAGTGATAACCGCTACACTACAAAACCGATGTCATTTTGGAAAATAGTTCAGTTTATGATGTGCAACTACACACGAACTGCAGAAAACAAATCGACATGAACATCTGCCATGTCCATCAGAACACGGCGTGAAACCACCAGTAACCCACAAATGCGTTCAGATCTCAATTAAAAGATTTTTCCATGTCAATCCAAGTGGTGGGGTTCCATACAATACATAAAGTGGGCTGGTGGGGGGGGGGGGGGGGCAATCGCGAGAACAGAACGCCATGTTTTTTTTTTGGCTCCAAAGCAACTTGTCTATCCCGAAATTACTAGATTTGTAGCTTCGCAAGTCATATTTTAAATCCAAGATTATTCATAAGCCTAAAAGGAAAGAAAAAAAACATCTTCTCGTAGATTGGTGTTGGAATACTCGTTTCTGAAAAAAAAAAAGAAAAAGCTATGCTAATACCAATGTTTTTAAGAAACGAAGAGGTAGTAATCACCCATGCTAAAGATGGCCCTTGAAGAACAGACTACGCTCATCGATTTCCGGGAACGTTGATGTTGGATTTTCAAATTGGCTTCGATTCTGTAAAACGTATTTTTTCCACCCCTAAGAATTATCAACAGCCTGAACAATTGCACCGTCTGCGCCTTGATCCAGCCCATCCAGCGTAGCCATATCCTCTTTGTTGAGTTCAAAATCGTATATATCAGCGTTGCCGACAATCCTCGAAGGATTGTCACTCTTGGGCAGCGGTACGAATCCCTTTTGCAGACTCCATCGGATGAGGATTTGGTTGGGTTCCTTGTTGTGTTTCTTCGCGATGGTGGCAAGTGTCGGGTCGTTTGCCTTTTCGTTGCGGACAATGGGGCAGTAGGCTTCGACTATGACGTTGCGTTTTTTGCAGTATTCGACGACTTCGCGCTGCTGGCACCAGGGGTGGAGCTGGTGTAGTTGGTCAGGTATGTGGGTAGTTGAATCGAGGGGGGTTAATACAAACCTCGATTTGGTTTACAGCAGGAATAGCATCCTTGCTGTCAATGGTTGCAATCTCCTCAATGTGTCCGATGCCGTAGTTGCTGACGCCAATGTCTCGTACTTTTCCTGCCTCCTTGGCCTTCTTCAGTGCCAACCACATTGTCTTCCTTGCCTCTTTGCCTCCATTCGGGGTGTGGATGAGGAAAAGATCCGCATAGCCATCCTTCCCAGCAAGCTTCTCAACACTTTCGATAACCTTTTTGTACGTTGACTCGACATCTTCGCCAGGACTCATAATTTTGGACGTGACGTAGATGTCCTCGCGGGGAAGCCCACTTTCAGCCAATGCCTGTCCAACCTGCTCTTCGTTGGCGTAGTACTGCGCCGTGTCGATGTGTCGATAGCCTGCCTCAAAGGCTTTCTTGCAAGACTTGACGCATACATCCTTGGGTGACAGATAGACACCAAACCCGATTTTCGGAATTTTGTACTGCGAATTCGGCAGGTCGAAGGTCGAGTTGATATCGAGTGTGCTTGCCGACATGGTGGATAGCGGGGTAACAAAGGTGGAGGAATGCTTCAACAATGCTGCTACTGATGGGCAATTGCTAATGTTACCGAAGGCAATACGTGAAGTGCAGAAGATTCGAGGTAATAGGAGCACACCAGATCATTTAGATGAAGTAGAGAGCTAGTTGCGCCATCGGTCCTTTCCATGTAGCTCTAAGCGCCGCATAAAACAGCTTTCATCTCATTAGTCGTGATGTCACTGCATGCATTGCCCAATGCCTTATGGTGGGGCTCGCATTGGAGCGGGGCTGAGTGTGCATGATGAGCGTTTGCCAAACGGACCCATTGAAGGCATGAATTGCGCCTTGATAACTGATGTGAGGTAGTAAAGCCATTCGCACAACGGCGCCTGTTCTAGAGTAACATCCAGAGCTGTTCGCGCTAGGATCGCGGGTCCCTGCTAGCCGCCAGCACCTCTTTGCCCTACTCAAAACCTGCACCGGCTTGGACAAGTCCCAATTAACTATAACAAGGCGTATGTCTTATCACCGCATATCTCAATCTCTTCTGTTTGCGTATTGTAGCCAGCGCTCTTGCCTCTTGGTGGCTACTGCAGACTCGGAAAGATAGGCAAAACAAGCTATCAATCCTTACCAAACCACATTGTTCCTATACGGTATTTAAATGAGTAGACTGTTACAAGGACCAAAAAGCTCATTGGAGAGATTAAATCTTCAAAGAGAAGCATGTTTGAAGATATTGGACACAGCTACACATGGGATGAAATATGGAACGAAACAATGACCTGTTCGTTTAAAAGGAGGGTGATTGATTGTAGAGAGAGAGGAGAAGAATATGGAGTCATAATGCCGCGGCGACGAACCTGCTGCTCAAGATTCGATTCCCGATTACAGCACAGCTTCCACTCCTCCATAGGCCCTCTCCTTGCAGCCTGGATGCGACTGCCGCGTTCGCCTCCCATCATCCTTATCCTTTATCCGCGACTTAGTTGATCTTCTTAAGCTCGACCTCGCTGTAAAGAAGTTAACATCGTGCGCCAAGTACATACGTATAAGAGCAGTAACTTACAAGATAAGGTCAGAGTTAGGAGGGATCAGACCAGGGAATGACCTATTTACATGTCAGCATCTGTGGTTGTACGATTTTTCACATAGAGAGCACTCACTGGTTTCCGTAAGCAAAGTCGCTGGTGATGTCCAACCTGGCCTTCTCGCCAAGCTTCATTTGCACAACACCCTCATCCCAGCCTTTGATGACACGGCCGACACCGATCTGGGTCTGGAATGGACCGCGGCCAGTTGTGCTGTCAAACTGTTTGCCCTTGTCGGATTGGGCATCCTTCAGCCAGCCCGTGTACTCCATGGTAACGGTGTCGCCCTTCTTAGGGGATGGGCCGTTGCCCTCTTGGATAATGGTCTTCTGGACACCCATTGCGCGTGCAGTTGATATGAAAGCTCGAGTTGTGAGACGGTTAAAGGAAGAAACGTTGAAGATAGGTCTCATAAGTGGAGCGAGAGGAGAGGTGAAGGAAAGATGGTTGGCAGGAGTGAGCAAAGAGGGTACAGTGGAGGGGTAGCTTTAGTGGGGTGGTGGGGTGGGGTAGAGAGATCGTCAGTGCACAGCCTCGTGCATCATGCAAGGGCAAGTACGACGAGTATGACCAATTGATCGGGCACGTCTTTGCCTTTTCGAGGGCTTCAGGTGGATAAGCTGCATGTACGGATGATGGCGTGATCGTGACCAAGTGAAGAGATCCTGGATAGCTGACCTCATCAAGGAGCAGCGGCTGCCTCGGTGCCATGTGCTTGATGGACACAGCTCCTGGATGGATATCGTAGTTTTCAACTTGTATTTACAATTACAAAAAGTCCTTTTTAGTATACATTGACTGCTAGTTTGCCCTTCTCTGTTGACTAGTGCAGACTGGTAGCGTCTGGCTGTCTCGTAGACCATTGAGCTACCAGTTTAGACATCCATACTAGCTAACCAAGCTATGGGCTATAATCGCCCATTTTTACCATCAAAATACCGTGCCCAGACGCCGTACTTATGCGGAGAGGAGATATTGTACAGCTATTCACATTCAAACTTCCGGTGTCATCAATTCATCCAAACCATGACTTGTTCTTTCTAGCCTCTTTCCTTGCAGCTTGCTATAGAAATATTAGCAACTGTTCGTCAATGTCGATATGAATGGTCGAGAGACGGTCGTAAAAGTGTATGTGGTGCGCAGCCGGCGGGGATAACGTACCCATTGCTCCTTGCAATCCCGATATGCTCTGTTCAAATACGCGTCAGCATCATTTCCCATCAATTGAAACTGTTATAACTGTAGCCGAAGCTCCAGCATCTTTCTTCTTAAGAAATTCCGACTCACTGGAAAAAGTCCGAGCACATAGCCCTCTCTCCGCCATTCCTCTTCAAACACCGTATGCTTCTATCCGCCGCCTCCTGACATGGATCGTAATACTCGCTGAATGCTTTGCTGTAGTAAGAATACATCAGTTGCTTGTTCTTATTCTCCACAATGTAGCTTCAGCTCGATCAACAGGGTGGCGTACTTGTCGAACTTGGCGGCTTTGTCACCGGACCATTCATTTGCTTTCGAGGGTGTGGGTTTCTCCGACATCTTGAGAATTTCCAGGATCTGCGCGATTCCGGATGTCCAAAGTCAATTGGGTGGAGAGTCGCTTGTACGTGTTGGGATGAATGGCGCGGAGACAAAGTCGGACGGCGGTCATTAGGAATGAGGCTGCGGAGGTATGTTATCGATAAGACGGTCTACCCCATGTGCATGCACGACAACGGGCACTACCCTGTCACACAGCGGGACCCAATCCGAGCGTCAAAGCATCTTAATTCAATGACTTCTGTTGATTTCTTCTTCTTTAATGTGTTTAGTGGGTCGTTGGTGTTGTGTACTCTGAGCCATCACGTGTACGCCAATTTTGGAGGCACCAGATAAAACCCGGGCAACACTTTCATCACAGTGTTAGGCAAGCAGTAAAATATGATAGAGAGATAGAGATTGTGATTATAGCCGCCAAGTCTCCAGTCCACAGTATCGCCAGGGTTTAATCCAAGCGGATGCCTGGTATTTCGTGGGAAATATGGCTAGCATGGGCTGGCTCTGATCATCTTGGGCTGAGGACTGTGCGCCTCTTCGTATGACGACGAATGGCGATCTGAAGCTCGGCATTCAACAGAACTTATACATAAAAAACTGTGTATCCAACACTAACACTGTCTACCTCGTTTGGAGTTTGCTCAGGAAAGAAAAGCAACTATGTCTTGTCCATCTACTTACCGTAGAGTAGGTATGTCTCAACATCTAGTTGAGCTGCTCAACAAGATAGCTCGGCCTTGACTCGTCGCAGGATCAACCTTGCAGATCAAAACTTGTGACTGCAAGTTGCAAATCAAGGGCAAGTCACGGCCACTCGATTTCCATCGATCACGGTCCGGCAAAGTACTGTAGGTCGCCTTGCAGTATCGTCTGTAGTTGTTGGTCAGAGAAGAGACTGGGCTCCAAAAGGCACTGTGGATTGGGGTAATATTTTAGTAGTGCAGGCAGTAGCGAATTGCAGATTTATGCAGGGTTTGGATGTGAGGTGCGCTGTGGGATAGGATAGTGAGGCCGAAGCAAATAGCAAGTACAACCGTCGCGCTCCTCGCAGCCATGGGTAGGAAGAAACGGGGCTCCAGGCCAAGGGACAGTGCCATTCGACAACGGTCGCACGCCCTCGGCGCTCTGTTGATAACTCTTTTGTTCTTTGGTCGGGGCCAAAACGGGACGCTGGCGAGGGCAACGTTACGAGTCGCGTGCCCACGTCATTGGTGTTGAGGACCCGTCACAGGCTGGGACGGCCCAATAGGATAATGCCATGGTATGGAATTGATATAGCTCGAGGAAATGGTTGGTGGTGGTTGACGACGGGGATTCGGGGCTGGCGCTAAAGACGGAACGAGGTGAGGGTGGAAGTGAACGGCTGCTGCGGCAAATGGACGGGGAGCAAGGGCAGAGGTGACCGAGCGCCAGCATACCTCGACTAGCAGGCCCGCACTTGCATGCATAACCACTGCCAGCCATACTTCCTAGTCCTTCTCTACAAGGGCAAAGTCCCATGTGAGCAGATGCTCCATCTTAGCATCTCCCGGCTGCCCAAGTCCGTGAAAAGAGAGACCCATCGCCCGCCGCCATGGACAATCGAGCGTCGCCGACCCCGCCCACCGCTCGCCCCAAGAATTCGTCGTCGTCCATCACGTCGGCCACCACACCTTCACATACCGCCACACCCTCACAGTCGGCCGCCATGTCCTCGACTTCACGGGCTGGGCGCGGCGGCACTCCGACCGCCAGTCGCTCTGCCTCGAAGCTGGCCGACGCCGACCGGCCCACACGCGCCGCCAGCAAGGACAGCCTCAAGCAGAAGATGCTGATGAAGAAGGACGAGGCGCCCCAGCCGAGCAAAGCAGAAGAGGTGCGCTGCTCTGCCCACAAACACAACCCCACGACCGTCTGTACTAACGCCCGCCACAGCAACTCAAGGCCCTCAAGTCCGAGTTTGACGGCCTCCGCAACCACCTCACCTGCAAGATCTGCGACCGCCTGCTCTACCAGCCCTTCACAATATCGTGCGGGCACACGTACTGCTACACAGTAAGCAGACCCCTCGCTCCTCTGTGGCCGCCCATTGCTAACATGCACAGTGTCTCTGCACCTGGTTCGTCAGCAACAAGGCCCGCAAGACATGTCCCGACTGCCGCATCGTCGTCAAGGACCTGCCCGCCCCCGCCTATGTGGTGAGTCAAGTCCAGCCATGCATGCACATGGTGCGCCCTCTCTAACACTGCACTCCAGATACGGGACATGACAAGTCTCTTCATATCCCGTGCCGAGCTGCTCCCGCTAGGCGAGAGCCTCGAAGAACACAAAAAGTGGCAGAGCGACGAGGCCGACGCTGTGCAGCAGGACAAGGATAATGAGGACCCCCGCACTGGAGGTCTCTTCAAGGGCTGCTTCAGGCTCGCCCACCATCAACGAGGCCCGTCGCTGCAAGTCGTCCGTGATCAAGAAGACGGTGTTGACCGCTGTCCGGTCTGCACCTGGGAACTGGAAGATGGTGGCTGCACTCAATGTGGACTGGTGTTTGACGAGACGGGCGAAGTCTCATGGGGCGACAGCTTCACAGGTTTCAGTGACATGGACGAGATGTCAGAGCACGACACAGACATAGACGCCGAGATGGACTTTGAGAATGGTGAATATGACGACTACGACGACGGTATGGGAGATTGGGGTACATACCCTCCTGACGACTCAGTAATGATGCGCCGTTTCCTGGAGGCCGGAATACCACCTCACGCAGCCGCGTTTGCCCGACGCCGTCCAATCACACATAGCGAAGCTGGCAGTCGGCGCTCTTACACCCAAAGTATAGTCTCAGACATTTACGGTGATGAGATGGACACAGTCGAAGAGGAAGACGAAGAAGGACTAGATGAAGATTCTTCTATGAACGACTTCATCGACGATAGTGGCGTCCAAGCAGCCAGCTCACCAAGCGACGCATCATCCACACCTGGTCCCATGCCTCAACCTTCAGGTAGCAGAGCACAAACAAATGCCAGAAGACGCCGCATCGTCGAGTCTGAAACGTCGTCCAACCGCTCAAGCGTCGTTGAAGAGGAAGAAGACGAGGACGAAGAAGATGCAGGGCCTATTCGTAGGGGAGTGAGGAATTCGGCTCAAACTCGTGCTCTACATAGGGCAAATGGTTCAAGATCCTCTCATGATAGGGCTTCGTCAGTAGCCACTGACGTCTCAAATGAGGAGGAGCTTGACGAAGACACTCAAGCCTTGCTGAGAGACGAGGGATGGATGCTGCAGCGGGATGAAGACGATGAAATGGGGGAAGAAGATGAAGATGACAGTGATGGAGGAAGAACGACCGTTGGGTGGGAACCGCTTGCGAACTCAAATGACAGAAGCCGAATGGGCGGTTCTCTAACACCTACTGCAGATCGTCCTCGGCCTAGTGCCCCGATCCGACCCCCTTCACGAACCGGCAATACTCGTGTCTTGAATGCCTCCCGTGGCTTGCGTCGAAGACCGTCTGTTCCTCCTAGCTCAGCAGCCCCTTATGAGGATGGTGAAGCAGACGACGATGACTCGGACCAAGATGGCGATATAGAGCTGGCCATGAATACCTTGCGAACACGCCGCTCACAAGCCCATATGCGAAGCGGAGCGGCCTTCTCAAATCCCACTGCCCGCTTCGTCAATCGTGGGGCTGCTCAAGTTGACGGGACAAATGAGGCAGATACTGATGACAACTCGGACACTTCGCAAGGGCATGCACGAGGAGCTCCTCGTGTACAGCGTCGGGAGTATGATCCGCGTATTAGTTGGATGTTTGCTGCGCATCAACAAGCTCTCCAACAGCATCAAATGGCAGGTGCATTGATCGATGTCGAGCCACGAGCCATTACCCCACTTTCTCGTCCCCGTACGAGGAACAGGAACCGACCAAGCCCGGCACAGGCATACTCTCCTTTCCTGCCCCCTACGCGTCTGAGGACACCGTTGATGGACAACACTTCAAACCTTGCTATGGACCCTCGCATGCCAGTGTCGCCGCCTCGGAGAAGCGCCATGTCTCCGGGATTTCCAGCGATGGCACATAACGGTAATATGAGCCGGTTTGATCGTGCTTCTTCTCTTAGCTCGAATAACAATGCTTCTACCATGACTCCTGGTTCGTCCACTCCCACGTCTCAACATTCTATCGATAGCATAGCACAGACACAGGCTGCTGCGGCTATGGATATGATTGATCGTCCGCAAAGCCGTGTCGGTGCTCGCCCCTCTTCAGCGAATAGCCGGAGGAACTCTGGCAATTTTGCTGGCGTCAATTCCTTTCCTCACGCTGGTATGGGATTGCACGTTCAGGGTGCGGCTTTGCCACCCTTTGCCGCCCGAGGCAACCCTTGGGCTGCGTTCGTCCAAGCACGTGGCGTGCGGAACCGCAATTCTCGCCAGCTTCTCCGAAATGAGTCTTCTGTCGCCACTTTGCGACCTGTGAATTCTCGTGTCAACGTTCGAGAAACCGGAGGGCAGCAACCAAGTGCGAGACCTCAGCCATCTCGTCTCAACCTCCGGCCTCAGCCTTCAAGACGTCAGATCAACGCTCAAGCCTCAACGCGTACTCTGCGTGCGAGTGAGCATGGTCGACCGCCTCCATCACCAACCCAAAATGTACAATCACCTGGCCAGCCTGCTGCTCGCCCAGCCCAATTGTCGCAGGATGAACGCAACATGCGAGCTCGAGAACTCATTGAGACAAGACGACAGGCACTCGGACAGCGTGAAAACAGCGTCCCTGCACGTACCAATCCATTCACGCAAGGCTTCCAGCGTCCAGCCAATCCTGCTGGTTCGCCTCAGATGCAACAGCCAACAACGGCACAACATATAAGGAGCAATTCTAATGAGTCGATCAATTCTACGGGCACGGTACAAGGCGGCTCCGCATCACCGGTGCTTGGCCGGCGTCGGAGCAACCGCAACTTGCACAACCCCTCCTCTCCCGGTCTCCATTCTCCGACGACACAAGGAACCTACACGGGTCCTGCACCAGCATACGCCAACAGCTACTACCGTCCTAGACAAGGCTCTGTGAACGGCGCACAAGCACCGTACGAGTCTACGTTAACCGCCAATACAAGGAACATGAGTCCCATGATGGCCGGTCCTCTCATTTAAAAAGGCACACTTCATTGTTGAAGAAGAGAAGAAAACATGATATTTTTCTTTTTTTGCTCTACCGGCGTTCGGGCAACAAAGATTGTACTTTCTTTTAGCATGTGGGGTGAGGGTGGGGGTTCACGGAGGTGCACTTACTCTCTCATGTATGAATGGATGAGACGGGAAACGAGATGAGATGAGATGAGATATGATCCAGACTTTTCTTTTCTTTTTTGCAATTGTGCTTTTTTCTCTCTCTCCATGTCTGCTTTGTTTTGTTTGAACGTTTGCTTTCCCCCTTGTTTAGCGGCATCATAATGCGGTCCTGTCTTCCAGCGAGTTTGTCCTTTTTTTGTTTGTCGTGTATGTCCACAGCATTTCACCGGCGTCATTCCTTTTCTTTTCGTTTTGGCTGCGCAAAGGGAAAGGGGGGTACTATACCATGACTGCATTGTGAAGGATTGGAATTCTTGAGAGAGAGGAGAGTGGAGGAAGATGGAGCAAAGAAGGGGAACGATACGATACGATACGAGAGCATCTTCCTATCAATATTCCAGTTGTCTTTTTCTTTCACCTCTGTATTTTCTTCATGTTTAATTCATGTAGTTTTGCATGTGTATGGAGTCGCAATGTGAGTAACTTTGATCGACCAAACTACAAGTTTTGGGGCTTCCCTTTTTTTTTGCTACTGTAATGTGTTGGGGTAATTGTGCATATGAATGCGAACCATGGTAATGCTCCTATTATTTTTCCGTGCCCTTACAAGCTGCTTTAAGAAGAAAAAAGGCCGACATGATCGACGTGTTGCCACACCTGTACCCACACCATCCCACACTGATGACCACTTATCATGAGCTTATGTGAAACAATAAGTGGGACTGATTACGCGTGTTAGCACACCACCTTTGGACTGATCCTACGTATGTATGTACACCTGTAACTTAGATCATGTACTTTATACACCCATATAGTCATACCAATTGTAATTCCATGTGATACTTTAACTGTACTACACTACCTTGATAATTTCCACAATTTCTGTAGATACTACAATGCTCCATACCGGGCGATATGCCTTGTTACCATGCGTGTCATATGTATGTCAACTCCAGAGTCTCTGCCGCACCAATGTATGTCACATGGTGTCAGCTTAACAATCTGGTTCCCATCTCCCAAAACCGGTACGCCCCGTCCCTACGCATGTGAAAGAAAACAAACATAAAGCAAAATATCGTAATAACAGTCAGTGCGCCTGGAAGATAGGTCGTGGGAGATGGGCCCGGTGGATAAGCCTCCTGAGATGAAGGCATGAAAATCATGACAGCTGAACCTAGCCATCTCAACAGCGTGAATAACGTTCAAATGACTGTAAGCGCCGAACTGGGGCTGCATGTTTATGTGTAAAGAAGCGGCCGAAAGTATGTCGTGACCGGGGTCCAGCAAATTAGGGTTTCCTCCGAGTGTGCGTATTTGAAGGCTTCTTTGTATCAATTCAAAATAATTGCTAGAACCGTTTTGACCGCTCGTGAAAGGTGAGCGGTACGAAAGCTAGAAGCGAGTAGGATCTTGGGACATAAGATACTCGGTTACACAGATGGAAGAGTAGTGGTACAAGGTCGCGGATTCATTCTCACGTCTCATCTGTCAAGTAGATGGTCCTAGTGACGACAGAAGTTAGTCACTGCGCAGCTGTTAGAATCACCCCGGAGAACCTACCGGAGATATCAAAAGGCAAACAATTGTGCATAATCTAGTCCATGTAGAAGTCACCCTTGAGGATCCGCTCCTGCATGGCATCGGGAACCTTGGGCTTGGGCATTTCACGAACTGGAGGCTCCATGATTGTAACGCTCTTGGCACGGTGGTGCGTCGGGCCAGCCATACCCAGCGTCGAAGGGGGGCCGGAAATGGATCCCCGCTCGGCTCGTGATCGGAGGTTCTCAGCGAAATTGTAGCCCTCGCCTGTTGAAGACGACGTTAGCGAGTAGTTTCCAAGTACAGTCTCGGCATGTTCCGCAATAGTTGATGGCCAAATGTACGAAATGGATGTGGATCGCCGGGAGTGGGAATGGGTAAAGGGGCGGAGTAGTGAAGAGGATGAGGGCAATGACTGTGACAATGAAGACAGACCTCGACCTCGACCAGTCGGGGGAGAGGAAGCTTTATGGATGATGGGTGGTCTACCATTTGGGTTCCCAACGCCTCCGTTGCCCTGCCTGACGTCCCGCATTGCACGAGCTCCGAAGCTCAGCCGCCGAGCAAATGGTGTTGCTGGGTTGCTGCTGGCCGAAGGGCCGAAGTCGTCCTCGAAAGGACTCTCATCGACAGAACCAGAGTTGGCGCTAGAGATGCTCTCAGTGCGGGTCCGCGGGGTTTGGAGGAAGGGCGAGGTTTGGCCAGGCGAGGCTCCTAGACCAATCGTGGTCAGTGAGAGCCTTCGCCGCTGGGCGTTGGCAGCAGCTGTAGTAATGGGACCCGAGGACTGCTGTACACCAGATGGTATGCCTGCAATGCTGTTTGACCGACCAAACAGGTCATGGAATGTCTGGCTGGTGATTGAGGCCCGTCGACGAGGGTCTGGAGAGTGGAGGGGAGGGGAGTTCCGGTCGTTGGAAGACATTGTTGGAGAGGGCGACGCTGATCAGTTTGTGACGGTGTACGTATATGAGTGCGTGCGTATGTGGTCTAGTAACAGCAGAGCGGAAATGGTATGGGTGGTTTGCAGAGTTGGAACAAAGAGTATAGAGAGGAAAGGCAAGGAGGGTGGGATGATTGATATGGCACTAGACGCACAGACAGGGTCCTCAGATTGTCGTACGTCAGCGGGGTCAATGGCGTGATAAGCGAATCACTCTCTGGCGGGGAATCGCAACTGAAGCAAAGTAGTGTGACAGGAGACTAACAACAATAGGCAAAGATGAAGAGGTCGGAGAGGGAAGGGAAAGCAGGAATGATAGACAGGAGAGTAATATCGGAGGAGCAGTACACGTCTTAGCTGCGTTTCCCACAAGATAGTCTTTGCGCTAGTTCCGCAACAGGCTTAGCGCATCTCGTTTCCCCGCAGTGCTTGGACAGCCATGTGGATGGAGGGTGCAGTCGTCGCTCCCCACGACCAACCACGTCGGCAGGCAACTCGAGCCTAACCGCTGCTCCCCGCAGTAGAGCCCAGTCGGCCCACCCTCAGGTGTCCACAACGACTATCACGATCACCAAGCTTCATTTCCTAGCTAGCACAAGCTTCGTCTACGAGCCACCTTGCCACTTCACATGCTTGTTGTTGCTTACTTGTCCATGTATCCGCATCTCGTTCGGGCCATATATCATATCAGCCACCTGCACATAGCATTCGGGGTGCCATGCGCCTCCAGCTTCTCTTTTTTAGTCGTTTTTTTATTTTATTTTATTTGTTTTTCGCTCAATCCTTCGGCCCCTCCTGAAGGGTGAACGTGCATGAGCTCCCGCTCATTATCTTGGGAAAGTCATGCGGTCAGTCTAAGTGGGCAGTTCCATGGTGACGGGGCGCGGCGAAATTTCTGGCGGAAGCATCCTTTCGGTCACTTACATCGCTTACTGCGGGGGGAGGGGCTGGCAACAAGGATCAGGCAGTCGGAATGAGTAGCTGGGGTGTATAAACTCCACATCTTGTTGTCAAGAGCCCTGCAATGTAGAAAGTATTGCACATTGCGGCACTAACGTATTGGCTTACTCCTTCTCACTACGAGTGTACAACAAAGAGAAATACGCTTGTGAAAGGGTGTGTACTCCTAGTGTGTACTACGACGTTAGCAAACCGGATTAGCCGGCGACTTACATATACCCATGACGAAGTAGGTCTACTACACATGGATGCGTCTCCAATGAACGGCTCTCGTAGACGTCCAACACTGATTCTCCTGGCTTGCTCATCATCGAACGCTGGCCTCCCACATCCGGGCAGAGGTAGTGCTTGAGTTGACAGTGCTCTACGATTTCTACAGGTGTATAGAGCTATCTGACACGGCGCCTTGCAGGGTGCTGTAATTCATCCTGCCGGCACTGCATAAACTTCAGCCTTCGTCTTGACCATGCATGACGCTCTGTCATGGGCTGCATCAGCTCCACATTGCGTGGCTCGGCGTTGTTGCAGAGATGGTTGTAGCCGGGCGAACACCTAACCCCCCGGAGCCGCTCTCGACGTCGCAGTTTGGCTCTGTAATAGTTGCGGGGCCTGGGCTCAGCTGATGGTCATGGCCTAGACGGAACATGGCGTTGTTCGACATTAGTTAGTCGATACCGAGTTTCACACTTACATCACCAATACTCTGAGACGGCAAGGTTAAACTATCTGGCCAATCACTTGCTTCGTTTTGTCTTAACGAGGTTGTGATAAGAATAGGTTCCGCTAAATCGAGGCTAAATCTTATTTGCTCAAAATACATACACAAAGAGGGTAAGAAGTGAGTTAAATCCCAAGAAGAGTGGCCGGATGAGCAGCCGAAAAGGTGTGTACTGGTGAGCATCCAGAAAGGGTTAAGGATAGAAGAGAAAGGAAGGAAAGGGAAGAGAAGATGAAAATAAAGGTTAAATCATTCGGCGGGTTCGCATGCCGAAGTCAGTTGGTCAGAAAGAGAGGGGGAGGGGAAGTGGGGAAAATGAGGTTGCAAAGACAGACCAAAGTCAGGCGACCCTCAGAAGAGAAAGGCAGTGCGATGAAACCGTCACTGCAAACGGCCATCAACTGGCAGGGAAAGACAAGAAGAAATTAGCTGAGCAAGAAAAGGGACAAGAAGAAAAGAATGGTAAAGGTGCGGGAAACGCAGAATACCGCCAACGCCATTACGCTGAAGAGAATGAAAAAAACGATGCGCCACTTCAAAAAAAACCCCTACCAATGGTTCCTATCACCTGGGTCGTGAAAGTGGTTGATCAGACTGCAGCCATTACTGCATCGCCCTCTTCGGTTCTCGCTCACGAACCTCGGATCCAGGCCTCTTGCGGGGCTCGTAGACAATGTTGCGGAAAATATTGATGTACTGCAACGAGGCGCCATACTCAGTAAGCTTCTTCTCAATGTCCTGTAGGGTCTCCCAATGATTGCGATACACGTCCTCTTGCGGCAAAGACCCAAGGGCGTCAAGGACAAACGGCGAGTCACCGTCATCATAGGCTCCAATGAGCGCGACGTAGAGGTTGCTCTGATTGGGGTCAGAGGGAGCTTCCCACTCCCATGTGATGTTCTCATAAGCGTTCTCATTGCGGTCTGTGACGCGGTCGAGGATCTTGATCAAAGCTCCAGCTGCACGAACAGCTACGTCTTCAACCTGTGAGTGATTCTGGTAAAAGTCTTCAATAGCACAGACTAGTGCCGTGAGCTTCTTTGCACAGCTGGGCACATCGAAACGGAGTGCATCCAGGAATGAATTCTTGGTCGGGCCCTTGGCAACGTACTCCTCCAACGCATTGAAGGTCGACTCAATACGGTTATCGACCTTCTCAAAGAAGACGCGACTTTCAAAATCTGGATCGATAATTCGACGCACCCGAAGATATAAGCTAGCGTCTCTGTTGGCATACTCGGTAATGAGGTCCGCCAGATCTTGGTACTTTTTTGAACGCTCAGATGTCAGTGGCGACTCGGGCCATTTGAATTCGCCAGGCAATTCTTCTTGAGGGGCAAAGCAAGAAAGCATGTCAGTGATCGCTTCCCTCATATCCTCGTCATCTTCAGGTACTTCGTCATTTCGATAAACCCACTTCAGATCGTTGGCAATGTTCACTAGGCCTTTGGTGTCCAGTATATTATCCGGCTTTACATCTTCGATCTTGGAGCCGTCTGGTGAAAGATGAAGAGGTGTCTTGACCATATCGTCATAGGCGGTCGACATAATCTGGTCTCCAACCCAATAAATGTGCTTCGGTTCATGTTTAGTTTGGTGTTCAAAACAATGTTAATGAAGATGCATACCTTGCATGCAATACCAGTTTCGTTTGCACCACATGAACATCTCGGTCTCCGTAACTCTCCCCCTATGGCTACCGTGATATCATCGTCAAGATAGAAATACTTCTTAGGGCTTCCATCCGGACTTTCTTCATCCTCAGAGATGGCACAGTATTTCATTCGGATGTCTTTGCCCTCCAGTCCCTTTCTCGCTCTTCTACGCAGGTCGTTGTCGAAAGCCGAGACATTATACTGTAGATTCTTGGTGGATATAACAAGTGAAGGTGTAGGAGAAACAGTAGGCTCGACAGATGGTAGTGGCTGGTCTTGGTTGGAATGCTCTGATTTAGACGATTGTGAGTTGGCTCGCGCTGCCCTTGCAGCTCCGGCACGAGTGGTTACCATGTCCCCTCCTAGAGAGAGTTTTGAGAATTGCTCTGCTGACATGGAGTGTCTTCGTACTGGGGTGCTTCCATACTAAAAGCCCAGTTGATGGACTATATACCAACCCGGCATCCCCGGGCTCCACGCCACAACCTTAGCTGATCCATCGTGTAGGCAGAGAAGACGGTCCATCTCATGACGGCGCTTAACGAGGAGCACATCCGTGCCTCAGAGCGTTGAGACGTATGGAGCGGATGTGGCTTGCTCGGGCAGAGCCGAAGTTGAGGAGAAAAGATGTCGACGCCGCATTTCTGCCTGGCTTACTGGAGCGTCTGTGGTGGCATGGTGACGGACGTTTGCCACAAGTCTGCATACATTGGTCTCTTTGTTGCGTCAATTGTCTGTTTCCGGACAACATAACTTTCATAATATCCACTTTTTTTCACAGACAACACTGGCAATGCGCCAATGACGCCGCATCAAGAGGCGTACTGCCCAGATCTGCTTGCTTCGAAGCGACACAGCCCTTTCCCTATATGGTTAAATTAAGGGCGGCCGATGAGCGAGGGATTGCCTTGTCCAGACAATTATCTCGTTTTGCCGCCGTACCTTCATCTCACAAATGCCGCTAAATGGTCGGGCTCAGTTATCGCAGGCTGACTTGGAGTGATAATGCAAGGCACAATGTTCGCGCACCGCAGTGGGGGCGAGGCTCGTGATCCAACTTGCAGCAGGAACAACAAATTGATGCAAACGCGAATACGTACCGAGGGCCAGTATGCGAGGATGCTTGCTGTCTCGGATAATCAGCGTAGTGGTAAGCCAGGCAGCGAACTCTACCGGGTTTGCAGGCAGCGCTGATCTGGAATGGCAGAAAGCTGGGAACTGACGTAGGTAGGTCTAGCTTCTGCTCAGCCTCGCGGCACGACCGAACCCCTGCCTGCATCCATCAGTCGCTAGCTGAACCTCTGCCTGGTATAAGGCTGACTGAAGTGGGAGGAGTAATACGCTTCTGGTCAAGCTTCTGACCACGTTAATGGATATATCATGCGCGCCGCAAGTCGACGACACCCACACCGCTGAGGGTGCCTTGGGTCGCACATTGCAGGCCTAGTTAGCTTGCAAGCTTCCACTCGAGCTGAGGTCGTCGCTCTGCATCCTATGGCCTTTGAATGATGTTTATTTTAGAAGAGAATTGGGGCTTAGCCATCGGACATACGCCGTCATGAGAAAATGGTGGTGCGGTTTACCAAGGATTAACTGGTCGATGTCCATCAGAGCGCGCTGACCATTCATACCTCAGGCTGTGACAGATCCACGAACTCCAACACACGACACATTCTATCACGTTTCGCACTTGGTCTTCAGCAACGTTTTTAATTAAAAGCGGCGGGGCAAACTTGCGCCTCTTGCATGAGAAAATCCAGAGTCGGCCATTCAGAGGTTTCGAGTAACCGCCGCGCGTGTGAGCGAAGCGGAACAGCCCCCCGAACAACAACAGTGATGACCGAGCAGTGATTGATGTGAGCCCCGAATTGAGACAAGCCCCCAAAACTGTTCGGTGTAGCAAGTGTGTTGGTGGAGAGGGAGTTGGCGATCTGCGGGCATTATCAAATGCTTTCAATACTTGGTAGTGACACCACGACACCCCCAAAAGCACCCATGACTGTGGCCTCGCGCTTACAGCGGGAAAAAATCGGTGCCACAGAATACTAAGAGCTCCGGGTCCCTGAGTCCATGCCGTTGTTCCGGGTTGATCAGATCGATATGCGTTTGCCCTTTTGGCTTTAAAGGAAGGTTCGCCCTAAAAAGTCAGTGTACTTGAATACTGACCAAAATTGCGGTCATACCATATCATCACTTACTGCTATTGTCCTCGGTGGATGATGCATTGTGATGAGTAGAGCCGTTATTCACGTCTTTTTGTGAGCCTCGATGTCTTTGCTTTCCTTGTTCGACCATGTGTCTCATCGAAATGCCACCCCAGGGTAAACCAGAAAGGCTATGGTCGGTATCGATTTCTTCGGGCTTTGGTTGTGCGTATGAGGCTCCGGCTTTTCGTTGGTTCTCTTCCTCTCGTTCGGCCTCCTCCCTCTGCTCCCTTATTCTGTCACCTTCACTTCCTTTAGCTCAAGCATTCGAGGCTGGAGCATGTTACTAACGGAATCTTCTTTGAGCCAGTTTGTTTTGTATCTTTCGTCGCTCACTGCGGTCACTGACGTCGGACCAATCGTTCTTGTCAGTTTCTGATGTTTGCCCACTATGTGTAGACGATTGCTTGGTGGATGATACTGGCTGTTGCGGATTGACCCGCTGGTTATGATACACGTCCTCAGCACACATGAGTGGAGTGATACAGTATGACCCTAGGTTAGCCGAGTGGTTCGCAGCGATGGAACGTTTCTATTAAGCAGTATAGGTCTGTTTCGACGGTAAGTTTTAGTGTGCTCCTTCAATCCATCTATGCTTACAGTAGGAGCGTTGAAGTTCTACGCGTGAACCGAAGTTTCCTTTTACCAGAACTCCAGAATCAATCGTTATTGCCCTTGTTTGAGCCACAAGAATTGGTGATTAAAAAAGAATTGGATCAGTTTATGTTGGATGTTCAATGGTATGTTGAGCAGTCGGGTCTGGCGAGGTATCATTTGTTGCTCTCTAGAACGGGGGGCGCAGGATTAGTATTTATGCTATCGCTCGGTGCCGATACAACTACTTTTTAGGTGTAGGGTGGGGTTGGCGTTATAGTGTTTGAGGCGATACAAGACATCAGCATCCTTCGCTTGCTGTAAAGCTAGGGACATTGACGGCTTTGGGAAATAGGGTAAGCTAGTGGAAAGTACTGTGTGCTTGAAAGGGGACGATCTGCGAGAAATGGCGGCAGACTTTAGAATCCAGCACTGTGGATAGCAAGCTGCTCGTCAGGTATTACGGAACAACTGCATGGACAGGGGTCGTCATCGTAAAAGCTGACCATGTCATTGCAGCCCGGCTTGTGCATCCGGCTAGTACGGGAACTGGGGAACATCGTACATGAAAGCCTGTGCTCGAATCCACAGTGGAATGACGATCGAGTAGATGAAAGGGTGCTATTGGTACGTCCGTACAAGATATTCAACGTGTAGCCAATCAGAAGAAGATATCCATCCAATACTGCATCATTACCGGTCGACGGGTGAATCGAATGACGCCTGAAGATACGCAGTGTCTCAGCCTCACGCTCCCTGGGGCCGAAATGGTGATTTTGCTCGTGTCTCTATATTGGCCCTAGCTGACTGTATGGTCAAAACTCAGCTCAGGGACGTCGTGACACAATAGAAGTAATTTCATTCATTCGCGGTGTTCCCATTTCTGAGATCACTTTAGAGTGTTGGCAGATCTGTGTGATAGGCGATGCAAGTGTCACTGATTTTGCAGGCGATGTGATTGCTGTGAAGTGATAATCGAGTGGAGTTGATGGCGAGAAAGACCGTCATAGGAGGCCGAAGGTAATTTGTTCGGTGCAAGGTCAGAGCAAGGCACAAGACCCTGTATGGAAGGAGCGAATGGTCGGCGATGAGTAGACATGATGGAAGCTGCGGTCGGAATCTGGCTCGCTAAGCCTAACAGGGACGGCTAGGCAGGTGTAATTTGGTCTGATTCGACCGTCTGTGGTAAATCACAAGGCTCAAGGGTTTCCTGACCGCCCTGGTCGCCATGCTACTGTGCATCGACCCACAGTGTGGACGTTTGCCTGCCGTTGTTGGAAAGGTGAGATGCGGTTGTGGTGAAGATGCCGTGTCTATTTTTTTCTGACACTGAGCTCGATATGTCTGGGCTGGCCGAAGGCGGCGTCTGCCGTGCCGTCAACGTGGCGGATCCTTTGGACTCACATGCACTGTTGACTGTTGACCGTACGGTTGGTCGGCATACACTTTCACAAGATGGTGTGATCACGTGTGCACCATAGTCCATGAACCAGAACACTGATGGTACATGTGCTGTGTACAGGTAGGAAAAAGTCGATTTGGCCATGGCATTGAGGGCATTAGATACTATAGCGGCACCAAGCGCACTCGGCTTTGCACCTGCTCAGTGGGGTTGAGTATGGTATGGGCAGCCTGGACGCAGACGAGCGTGTACTTTGATAGCTGACCAGCCTGTGACGGGTGCACGCTCAATTTCACACAGGATGCAATCTGGGAAAAGGAATGTATGTCAAAATATAGTCCTACACATCTAGAAGACGGCAATGGGTAGGGTGGAGAAGACACGGCTCTGCTAAAAACCAATATTAATCTTCCACCGAGAGAAAATGTTGCTTCCAGGCCATAGAGAGCTGAACCTGGGAGCAGGCAATGGTGGCTTGACAGCATGGGCTGTGTAGGGCAGCAGCGCCTCGCCAAACGACAGACATGAATCGTTGGTGATGGGGAGCACGTGCTGCTCGCGGTACACGCAGCTGTTGTTTGGAGGGAGGGAGAAGAGACAGCAGCGGTTTTTTTGAGGTGGGAGAAAACCCATTGTGCTCGGACCAGGTGCTTTGTCATCCGTCTTGGCAGTGTGCCGTTGAAATTCTCACTGCAGCTCCGACTCGACTTTCCTTCTTTACACACAATCATACAAAATGGACGATTAATCAACGGCTATATCGAGCTTACAATCTCTATAGTTGTCATATTTGCGTCTTAGATGAACCCGGCACTTTTAGGCTTTTTGCATCCTTTTCAATGCTGCTTGAAGCCACCTGCGTGACCATACATACCTACATGCTTGAGCTCCCGTTAAGTAGAGTACAACATACTAGACGATACATGCACCTATCAAGAGGCATGTCGCGTGCCAGCCGCCTGGTCGACTTGACACAACCGACTGTCCATGTACATGCACATGTGCTGCTGGCCCAGAGGAGCGGGAGATGAGCATTGAGTCTGCAGGCGTGTCTGGTAATAATCCATCAGCAACTAACGGGCCTTTGCATTGCGTGTCGGCAGCGTCGGCGGCTTGGGAGAGGCGTAGGTACGAAGGCCGTGTCCAATGCCGCCGCCCACCAAGGCCTTGTCGCGTGGGCAAATCGTCCCTGTGCTGTCCGTAGCCGATCGTCTATTCGTGTGGCCATGACGCCGCCTCTGGTGGAGTGTAGCAAAGCTCAGACAGGGGCGTGGTGCTGTATATAGCCCGAGCCGCCGAGACGCAGGGTTCTGGAGCTTTGCGGGATGCCATGTGTGTGTGTGTGTGTGAAGATGGAACAGATGGGCTACTCGTCATTGCGTTTGAACTAAGTGCCCCTTCACCATCTGCCCCTTCTCTACTCATGTCCACCTTTGCCATGGAAACGTCTTTTTTCGCATAGTCATCTTACCAACGCGCCACCTGCCGTCCCTCGAGCCCCCTTTCTCCCCGCGCATTGCTCCCGTGCACCTTCAACCGATCTCCCGACTCTACCTCCGACGCCCAACCGCTTCCTCTCTCGACACGACATGGCGTCTGCCCTGAACAAACGCCAGCAGGCGCGTAACGAGCGCACATTACAGGAACTCATCAAGTCTGTTCCTGGAAATGGAAACTGCGCAGACTGCGGCGCACGCAATCCAGGTATGCAGTCCCCAGGCGCATCTCGTTCCACACATACACACACGCTAACAACGGCTACGCAGGATGGGCAAGCTGGAGCGTGAGTCTCCCACATTCCTTGGCCCGACACCCATCTCCCGACTACGAACCGGACGCTGACATGTGCTATAGCTGGGCATCTTCCTGTGCATGCGATGCGCAGCCTTGCATCGCAAGCTGGGCACGCACATCTCCAAAGTCAAGTCGTTGAGCATGGACAAGTGGGACAACGCCCAAGTTGATGTAAGAGACGCGACACGCAGTATGATTATCTGGGTGCTGATCAATGCTGTAGAACATGAAGCGCATCGGCAATGTCGAGTCCAACAAGACATACAACCCCCGTAACGTCAAGCCGCAAATACCCATCGACATCGACGAGGTAGACAGTGCTATGGAACGCTACATCAGGGCAAAGTACGAGCAGAGAATATACCTCAACGATTCACGGCCAGGCACACGACAAAACACGGGTAGCACGAGCTCAGAAGACCGACCGCCGCCATTACCACCGAAGCCAAGTGGTCGCTTTGGATTCGGGCTGCGTAAAGCCGCAACTTCGCCGCGCAACATAACACCTCCCATCTCCCCAGGCCTGGAAGAATTCCGACAAGATTTGTCCCCGCCCCGAGTAAACAAGCCTTCCCGCGTGTTTGGCTCAAATGTACATACATCCGGCGACGGCATGGACTCCAAATTAGCCACACTTCGGGACATGGGCTTTCCAGACGAAAAGCGCAACTCCACTGTATTAAAGGGTCTAAATGGGAACCTCGATCGAGCAGTCGAGGCTCTGATCCGACTGGGCGAACAAAATCCTGTCAAATCAAGAAGTACCACACCAACTCCGCCTACGAAGCCCGTGGCCAACGGCCTATCTTTCGACAATGCACCCGCCGCCTCATCGTCCACAAATCCCTTTGGTGCTCTAGACGCACAAGCGCAAGCTCCTCAACAGCAGGCATTCTATGGAGGCGCTCAAGGACAGCAGTCATATCCTTCAAATTCCTACAATCCATTCTTATCGCAGGCATCCCAAGGTTACACCCAGCAGCAGGTCCCCCAGCAGCAGCAGCAGCAACGACAGCAAAGCGTTGGATACATGCCAAATCCCTGGGAACAGCAGCAACAGCAGCAAAGTCTCGAGCAATCTTTCCAAGGTATGCAAGTCTCGAGCTTACAGCCTCAACAACAACCCCTGTTTCCAAACCGAACTGGCGGTTATGGACAATCACAAACCTCGTACGCTCAAACGAACCCATATCTCCAACCTTTCGCGCAACCCTCTATGCCACAGGTACCTGAGCAATACAACTCCTTCATGGCACCACAGCAACCACAGTACCAGTCCATGTCAAGCCCTTCAAGTCCAGGAAACCCCTTTCTAAAGTCGTCTCAAAGCCAAATATTCACACCGACCAATATCGCAAACTCGAATCCTTTCGGACAATCGCCCTTCCAGCAGCAGGCAGCACAGCCACAGACAGTTGCACTTCAGCAGCAAATGCCTAACCCATGGTCGCAACAGCAACAGCAACAGCAGCTACAACAACAACAAAGTCAAGTTTCGACTCAGCCAGCAAACCCTTGGCAAAGCCAATCTGGTTACCAAGCCCAGACCCCTGTTCAAAATTACCAGAACCAGCAGCAAAGCTTTCAGAATCAACAACAGTTGTACCAGCAACAAAGTTCCAACCCATTTGATAAGAACGCTTCGATTCTCTCCTTGTACAACCAACCACAAGCGACATCTCAGCAGCCAGCACAGCAACAAGTTCAACCAACAGGTGCACAGGCTCCGGTGCCAGCTGCACCAGTCACGCAAGCACCCGGCCAGTCAAACCCATTTGCTAGCATGTCTGCTGCGCCCCAAGGCCAAGCTTTGTCTGCTGCACAGACACCGGGCGTGAGACATGTTAGCAACGAGAGTGTGGATTTTGCTGGACTAATGGGTGGACGCCATTCGCCTGATGCCTTTTCTGGACTGAGCTCTAGCTTCCGACGTTGAACATGCCTGCTAGATTGTATGACATTGATGTACAGCTAAAGTAGCATGTTTTGTTCTAATTTTGGAGGAAAGTTAATATTGGATATATCGAACGAGTGTTTCGAGGTTGTGCTGGAAGGTTTTGGAAGACTGGCTTGTTGTATGATACCTGGTGGGTAGGAGAGGCGCCACATTACCTATGATCATAATTGCTATCTCATTGTAATTGAGTCTGTGTATGAGAATGTGGTTAGTTATGGATGCTACGTTTATGTGCTGTCTGTAACGTGGGCATCTTGGTAGCTGGGTAGTTGGGGGGACTACTGTGTCTTCTCTGTAGCCTTGTATGCTGGACATTTGTTTCATATTTCTTGTTCGACTAGATCAGGCTAGTATTAATTGCTCAAATTATACAATATGTACGGGTCTATTTTGGGGTGCAGTTACAAAGCGGTTGCTTCACGTGCAAACGTGGGTCAAGTTCGCGTCTACGTCATTGCTATCTGAACCCGCGTACCTGAATCTTGACTCCCACCATGCGCCACGTTACTACCTATCACTCCTTCATACCAAGCAATCTACCTAACGCCCCACTCGAAGTTACTCTGTACTTAAGTTCTAGACAGCCGTATCTTCAGATTTCGGTCTATCAAGCCCCTTTGCATCATGGGTGAGCTTCACAGCAGCCTAACGGGCAGGCCTTCAGCTAACACTCCACAGCATCTTCAGTAGACTACTGTAAGGCACTCACACGAATTCACACCATATTACTGCAATCTCACGCAACACCTCAGATAAAGTCCTTGAAATCGACGTCAAAGCCTCGCAACAGCAAATCCGCGATGCCTACAAAAAGTAAACCATTGCCTATACTACACTCACCTCTCAAGAAAACGTCCATTCTCTAACAAACCATGTGCACCTCACCAGAGCAGCACTAAAACACCACCCAGACCGCGTGCCCTCAGACTCACCGGAGCGCGCAAGCCGCACAAAGCGCTTCCAGCAAATCAACGACGCATACTACACGCTCTCGGACGCCACGCGCCGCCGCGACTACGACGCCGCACGTACATACAACAGCTTCACAGGCACCACCGCAACGCCCGACCCGGAGTTTGATGAGGAGATACCTCACAATGCCAACGCCAACGCCAACGCGGGTACCGGTACAGGATTCGCCCAAGGCTTCCCTTGGTCCGCCTTCGGCTTTGGGTCCGCGCCAGCAGGCACAACGGAAGAATCGCACAACCGCTTCTCCGAAGAGCAGTTCGGCGACATCTTTGAGGAGATGCTGCGCGAAGAGGGTATGGCGGACGCAGAGGCTCATCCTACAGGCAAGTTCTGGAGTCTAGTCGGTGGACTCAGCGGTGGCGCTATGGGATTCATTGTTGCCAATTTTCCCGGTATGGTTGCCGGGGCTGTCGCGGGAAATCGATTGGGCGCGGTTAGGGATGCCAAGGGCAAGAGTGTCTATGCGGTCTTTCAGGAGATGCCGCAGGCGGATAAAGCGAGGCTGCTGAGTAGTCTTGCCGCTAAGGTTTTTGCTAATGTGGTTTCTGCCTAAGGGGGAGATTACGAGGTTGGGCTTTTGGGGGAGGGTTTGGGCGCGAAATGGATGAGCTTAAGGTTATGATGATTACTAAATGATGACGATGGGATATCCTGGAGAAGGAGAAATGATTTCGAACCCTTTTATTCCATACTTGTTCTTAGGTTGGGTTTGGGATACGAATACGATATGACGTTTTGATACAATATGGCATCTTTGAACTCAGGGCAGGAAGTGACACCTTATGAGCAGCGTGGAAACCCGAAGAACGGAGTTGAATGATTTTGCAATTGCGGCCTCATGAAAGTAGGGATAAGGCTTAATAGCCTAACCTCTTCCACAAGGGAGGGGATATCTCTAAAGCCAAAAAAAATAAAAATTGGCACCAAAACAAATAAACAAGTAGAAAATTATGAATCTAGGATAGATCCAAACGAATACCAAAAAAAAACACTTTCCAAATCGTTATCCATCATAAAGTCGTACACAACCCCACGTATATGTTGTATCTCGCCATCTCTTTCACGTAGTCCCCCTTTTTTTCACCTCCTTCTTCTCATCTTGTCTCCTCCCCACCCTATCACCAGCACCATCTCTTTGACGACATAAATCCCCAAGCTCTTCATCCCGTTTCGGTGGATATATATAAAAAAACTCTCTCTCAAAACGAGCCCATATCACCTCTAGACAAGCTGCCAACGACTCTGGCAATGGTAAAGATATTCTCCGCGGTTCCTAGATTGAAAGAAGAAAAAATTTGGTTAACCCTTCATCTCCTGCTGGAACAAGGTGTCGTCTGTTTAGACGAATTTAGACGCCATACTCGCCAGGGTTGCCAGACCGCCGATGCCGCCGGCGACCTTGTCCATATCCATGTTTTGCAGGCTGGCCATCATGCCGCCGCCGCCGTTGGCAGGGGCGTTTGTCGGGGGAGCGCCGCTCCGTCGCGAGGAGGACGAGGTATATGTGTCGCGGCCGTAGCCTTGGCTGCCGTAGTATCCGCCGGCGGTGCTACCGCGGTGTTGGGGCTGGTTGCCCATTTGGGGGAGGTTGACGCCGAATTGGCGGGCGAGCTTGTGCAAGACGCCGCCCGAGACGAGGGGCATGATGATCATGAAGAAGACCTTGTACGGGTGGCGCTGGGCGTAGCGCCAGATTTCGCGCAAAAAGTGCTGCAGCTTCTTGTACAGGTGCTGCATGTAGTTGTCGCGGGGCGAGCGCTTGTACCGCGATGTCGAGCTGTGGTGGCGCGACGACGACGAGTACGACGACGAGGCGTAGCCCGGACGGTATGACGACGAGCGCCGGTTGGGCGAGACGGAAAAGGGGTTCCAGCTGCTGCCCATGGTGGCGCGTGGATGCTTTGAATTGTTGGAGCCCGGGGTCAAGATCGGAGTTGAGGATGAGGATGAGGATGCAGGTGCAGGAAGAAGGAGGATTGGTTTTGGTCGGAGGCAAGCAGTGAGTGGCAAGGCGCCTTTTGTGGAGGCGGGACCTTGTTTAGTAGAGGCGTGGGCGCGGGCAACCGAAGGCGGGATGCGGTGCTGTAAAGTGTAATTGTCGGCCCAGCGCATTCAGGTGCAGTGGTGACCGATTGTAATGGGACGGATTGGCCCAGATGTGGCGATGCCTTTGTGAAACAACTGCAAGTATGACTGTTTTTTTATGTTGGTGGTTGTTGTTGTTGTCAGAGTTGCGGGTTGGCCAGCGCAAGATATTCACTAAAAGCCTTGGACAGCGCCCTTGTTTCAAAAGACAGTGGTAATGCCGGTGAAGAAAGTGGGTCTCTTTTGGGCTTCAATCAATCCTGTCGGTCTCTTTCTCTGTCGTCTGTACTGGTATTTTCTTCTTTGCCTCGTTTCTGTCGCCCAATCTGATGTCGGGCTCTTGGGCGGTCGGTTCGGCTCAGCTAGCTAGCCCCGTTTTTTTTTACGAGGCGAGCAGACAAGAAGAATCGGTGACAGCCCTATATGTATGTATCGTCGCCCGAACAAAGCTATGGCACCAGATGCGTGGCCGTGCACAGCGGGTGGAGAAATGAATGACTTGACAAGGACCACGTCAACACGGCAAAGGGACCATAAATACAGTCTTGTTCGCACGGTTGGGGTAACGAATTGGCTGGTCGAGAATGGCGGGTGACAGCTCGGGCTGGTGAAAGATATGCGCGCGAACTTGTGGAGCGGAGGAATGATCGTCGCAGACTCGCAGCACGCTTGGAGGGACTAACTGACCGCTCTTTGCTGACTTGGGGCCTCTTTGGCCTCACGTTACTATCCATCCCTGCAGGTACGTTGCCGCCCGGCACCCCCAACTGGGCCCGCTGGCGACTTGTGCCGAAGCCATTGTGCACATGCACGTGTGCGATGTTGTGCGTGAACCCTTATGCACGACCCGCTAGACAGCCAGTGTATGTAGTAGTATACGACAAAAAGACGCTGCCAGAGTGTCCGTCCCGCTTCCTTGTTTTCAACCAAGATGATGGAAAAAAATCTTCGCATGGTAGTGGAAAGAAGAAACGTCTTCGTTGTGCATTCTTTCCTTGTGTAGGCCCGCGCTCACCATCCCTGTGCCACGAATGGGTCAGAAATGCAAGACAGACGTTCGAGACCAACCGTTGCAGATGCAGCATACGCAACATGGTATTCAACAAGCCGTGCAGGGGTCTCGATCCAGCACATGGACGCGTTCTTGCATGCTGTCTTTGCCCTCTTGAGATGGCCCTGGTGCCGTTTGCACGCTCAAATCGGCTGACTGTTCGGGACAGCACACAGGTAGTGGAGAAAATTAAAAGATAGAGTTGCTTGGACACCACGAATACAATAGGGCCCACTACATACGTGGCTACGTCTGACTCCGGTCTGCTGTCATCCAACGCTCACCAAGATACTAGATAGTTGAATCCAACACGCCACATCGGGAAGCCATCGAGAATCAAGATTCGACTCGTGACGAGGTAGCAGCACACCATCACACTCTCAGCCTTTCTTCTTACTACTTTTACCTCCCTTGCGCCGTCGCTCACCTCCGTGACCACTGCCACTGTCTTTTGTCTTTCCTTGGACTTGCACAGCAGTCGCGGAGCCAGAAGGCTGTGTGCCCGGAGTTACTACATCGGTGTGTCCTTCTTGACTGACAACAACATCTGCCACTCGCCGTACTGGTACTGGTGCAGGAGCTAGAGGAGGAGCCGGGGGAACACGCCGTGGAACCGATGCATAGCTGGCCTCCGAAACCACCGAGCTAAGACTTCGAGTGTATTGCGGTTGAGGTGAAGTTGGCGATGAAGACGAAGTTGGACTAAAGTTGTGATACTGGTACGGCTCCACAGGGAATGGCACAAGGCGGGCAGACTGAATAGACGATGATCTGGTGTGGGCGTTGGTTGGCACATCAGCTTCGTAGGCTGCTTGTCGATGTGATGTCTGATTGTCTGGCATCGGAGGCGATTCAGGCTGAAAGTCGTAAACCGATTCCGGAAATGAGCCTAGCATATTGATGGAAGGAGCGCGGTGCAGAGGCATGGGTACGTGGCGGCCATTATCAGACGCCGAACGGGATGCTGGATGCACAGGTCCTTGCCCACGGACCAGACTGCCTTCATATGCATTAATCGGTGCATAAGTAGGTTGTCCGTCTGGACCAGGCACAACGAAGCCGGGCGGCATCGCATGACTTTCTGTCGTGGATGCAGTCGACGTACGTTTGTGCGCACTCGGCCGCTTTTCCTTCTTGGACTTGGAGCCGAGCATCGACGTTCGCTGCTGGCTCTTCTTTGAACGTGACAAAGCATCATGCTTCCCAGTCGCATCGTAGCTCAAAACACTAGCGGTATCGTTGGGTGATGAAGTACTGCTAGGTCGAGGCTGCGGCTCGGGACGTACCGCAGGGGCTCGTGCACCATAGAGTCGTGATTGATATGCGTCGAGTTCTTCCGCACTGAGTGAAACATCTGTATTCCCTGCTGCCCGGGCTACGCGGATCTTGTCAAGTACCCGCCGAAAGAGCATCTCTTCCACTTCGGCCGGGTTGATCGTTTCGCCCGGTCCGCCAAAGTACTCTTCATGATAACCTCGATAACCATGCACAGGCCCGTGCGTAGAGTCCGCTAAAGCTGATGTCCTCCTTTCCCACGCTCTAATATCCATATCATTAAAGTATAGTTCATCTGGATCAATCTTCTTGCCATTCAAAGCCGGTTCAAACGCCCCGTCTATTGTAACACCGCCATTTTCGTCATCGCTTGACAATTCTTGAAATCTATGCACGTCGTCCACCCCCTCAAAGTATCTCCCCACACCCGACGAGCCCCCTGGTGGTCTTCCCCAGTGGGGCATAGTGTAAGGAGTTCGCGGCCGACCACCTAGACCGCCTCCTCGGAAAAAGCTGACTCGATTGGCTTGTCCATGAATGCGGCGTGGCCCACGACAGTCACGCCAGTTGCTCCAATGAGCCAGAGAACAGTGGTGAAGGGTGAGGCCCAGAGACCGAGAGGAATTGCAATGACAAACAGCGTGGTGTATAGTTGAGAAGTGGTTGCGCGCCAGCTGCCAAGTTCAAGATCATTGCCCTCAAGCTTGCCGATACCGTACATGCCTCCGACCATCAGACAGATAACAAAAAGGAGCATCAGGTTGGTGAGCAAGCTGTATATGCTGAGCATGACAAAGACGGCAGCATAGTTGCTTGAGAAGTAGCCCAGGTTGTAGTTGACTCTGCTCTGAACTTCGCCAAAGTTGGCGGGCTTGGACATGCGCTTGACATCGAAAAACTCGCTAATGGGTCGCAGATTGGCGAAGCGCGATGAGACCGACGTGGAGCGCAGGCTGTCAAAGCGACCGCCAAAGTTCATCCGCGAGGTTAGCGCATCGATGGGAATGCTGAAACGCGACATGGTGGAGGGTGTGTAGTTAGGAGGTGTGTGTGGAAGGTGGGTGGTGGTGGTGCGTGGAAACAGTCGTCGGGAGTGGAAAAAAGGCCTATTGCTGTGCTGGAAATCTACAGGCGAAACCGTGGTTAGCTGCTGGCGATATAGGAGGAGAAGAACGGGTTGGAGATGTGTCCTCAGTGCAGGGGGAGGAGGGGCAATTAATGTAGTAAACGGCTGCCTTACGGGATGAGAATTAGTCGTACGAGGCTTAGGAAGGTGACGCGGCGTGCGTAGAGGCCGAGGAAGAGAAGAGAGTGTGGTGTAGAAGGAAGTGGAATGGGTGTCGTCGCCGATATGGCAACTTTTGTTGGCTGTCCCTGCCCCTGCCGCGAATCCCGTGGCTCAGGGTCGTGCTGCCCTCACCCAAGCCACCGAGCGAGCCGTCAGCCCCCTTAGTCGGTTCTGAGATGGGCGGGTTTCATTGGAGCATGGAAGGCCACCTTGACTTTTGCGGAAATCTCAAGAGTAGTGCTAGCAAGTGAGCGCATATTTATCCCCTTGCAGCGAGCTGCAACGCCGCTGTCTCATTTATTACAGGCCTAGAGCCATTGGGCCACGTTCCCTTCTCCCAGCGGTCTCACCGCACGACTATTGAACATCTGCTCCCTATCACCTGCGAGCAGTTCCACCACAACCTCCCTCAGCCATGAGATCCCACGCGGTGCTTGCACTGGTGCTGTGCATCTTCGCTGCATTTGCCGCTGCCTGGACTAAAGAAGGTGTGTAAATTTCTAATTTTGTCAATCCAGCTGTGCCTTCGTTCAATTGCCTGCTTCGGGCCAGATTTGCGACGAGGCGCATGGGTGCAGCCAGTTGCAACAACCTATAAGCTATTTGCTGACAGCTGACGCCAGACCACGAAATCTTCCGCCTGCGTGACGAAGTCGCCAAAGTCGAGGGCCAAAATGTCACTTTTTACGATCTCCTCGGTGTCAAGCCCAACGCGTCGCAAGACCAATTGACCAAAGCCTTCCGCAAGAAGTCGCGCGACCTCCACCCTGACAAGGCTCGCCAGACATTTGTTGCCAACTATGCGAAAAAGAACAAGAAGAAGGGAACCTCTGTCGGCAAGCAGCCATCAAACAGGGAAATCGAGGCTCATGTGCAAAAGGTCACAGCCGCCTACCAGAGGCTGTCAGTCGTCGCCAAGATGCTTCAGGGCCCCGAACGCGAACGTTACGATCACTTCTTGAGGAACGGTTTCCCTGCATGGAAGGGCTCCGGCTACTACTACGACCGCTTCCGCCCTGGTCTTGGTTCTGTCATTGTTGGTCTTCTTACCGTCTTTGGTGGTGGATTCCACTACTTCGCCCTCGTCATGGGATGGAAGCGCCGCAGGGAGTTTGCTGAGAGGTATATCCGACAAGCACGCAAGACTGCGTGGGGCGACGAGAGTGGCCTCCAGGGTATTCCAGGCATCGACGACACTCCCCCCGCCGTCAATGCCCAGCAATTCGAAACTGACTCGCCTGACGACACCCCTGATGAGCAGATCCCCAGGAACCGTCGCGAGCGACGTGCCATGGAGAAGGACGCCCGCAAGCCCAAGAAGGTCCAAGCTGTGAGGAAGGCACGCACCGATGGCATCAGCGCTCCGGCCGAGCCAGAGGTTGTTTCCGGTCCCCAGGGAGCCAAGAAGCGCATCGTGGCTGAAAACGGCAAGATCCTCGTCGTCGACTCTGTCGGTAATGTCTTCTTGGAACACGAGACTGAGGATGGCCAAAAGGGTGAATTCCTGATTGACGTACGTGCACACCTCTCCCCTTGACTCAATCATGTATATGTAGACTAACGATATCCCAGCCCAACGAGGAACCCAAGCCCACCATCTACGATACTCTCCTCTTCAAGCTTCCCAAATTCGCCTACAACCAGTCCGTCGGACGTGTCTTGGGCAAGAAGGAACTCCTTGACGAGCCTCTCCTAAACTCATCTGACCTCCCCGAAGACGAAGCCGCCATTCAGAACGCCACGGCATCCAACCTCAACGGCGAGGCAAGGAAGCGCAAAGCTATGGCCAAGAGGGCAAGGTAATCACTTGCGTTTTTGCACATCAAATGCTGCTTTGCATGTGATGGGTTTCCAAAACATGTAGGGATCTACACGTGCATGATGGGTTGATAGACAAAAAAAGGGTGCGGCGCGTGTATAGGCATCTGGAATTTGGCAAAGTTGCATGTACAACATGAGTGATAGACTAGATAAACAATGTGTTTCGTAACTTGGTTTTTCCTCATGTACTCTGATCACTTTTTGTCCAACCATGTCAAACGTCTCTGCCCATTCTTCTTTCCAGTTCAATTACACATTTTCTTCCCTGGCCATCATGACTGTTCTCATTCTATTACTCACCATAATGCCAAGAAACGTAGTACAACCTCCCTGCCTCTTCCTCTCTTTCCTCCCACCGCCTCCAACGTCCCTCAACACAACTAGCCCACTCCTCAACCCCCCCAACAGGAAAAACACAACCACTGCCCAAAGAATGCAGATGCATAATAATAAAAAGATATGAGTAAAAAAAAAGGCAATAATCCCATGTCTGCCTATGCGGCACCCCAGTCGGGTAACGGCTACAGTACCAACGACCCAACGATTACACTTTGTATGCATTACATCGGGGGGTGTAGTGTAACACAGCATATGCAGACTGGGATGGGGAATACCAAAAAGCAAACAGAGATGAAGAGAAGAGTTTTTTGAAAAAAAAGAAACGAAGTAACAGATTGGTACAAGGTATCACAAACGGGGGAAGCGGGAGGGGGAAAGACGGGGGAAGGAACAGGGCCCCCTTCCAAGTCTAACCCCCTGGGGTAAAAAGAAAACACGATAATGGGGATGTGCACGCGCGATCAAAGTACGACGATAATAAGCGCCACCCCTCAACAAGGGTCAACGAAAAGGACAGGACACAGAACGGTGAAAATGGTGGGTGTGTTTTCTTGCTCCCTTTTTCTTCCGAACTCTGCTTCTCACTCTCTTTAAACCCAACACACACGCCCCACACTCCGCACGCTCCGTTCCTTTTCTTTCTCTCTTTTTTTTTCTTCTGTACTCTATCGAAGACGATAATACTCCCCCATTGACGATGCAGAGAAAGAAAACCAAGGCCTCAGTTGCTCCATGCGTGCCGCAGAGGCAAGACGGTACACGCTCGACGAACGGCGGGGCAACGCAGTGCTGCTGTCACTGGGCACACGCTGCTTCGTTGGCTGTTGCTCGAGATCCCTCTAGAATCGTTCGGTTCCGTTGTTGCCGTTAGTGCCGTGGTGTTCAAACAAGTCTTCGAGGTAGCCGCTGGGGGTGCGACCACCAGGGACATTTGTGCCTCCTGGTACGTTGAGGGATAGCTGGCTGGGGTTGTTGTCTTGGCCAAAGACACCGCTTCGTGTATTTCCCGGAGTGGTGAGTGTAGCAACGCTGCTGCGTTTGTACACAGAGAGGCCTTCTCTGGATGGAGGTGCACGTGGGTATCCTCCGCGAGAAGGCGGCAATGAGGGCGATTCTGGAGGCGAAGTGCCAGATCTTGCGCTGAAGCGGTTTCCTGGGGTTGAAAGAGACAGTGCAGACAGGTTGTTGGAGTTTTGGCCGCCTACATGCATTTGGGGTGATCCGGAGGCAGGCGCTGAGTTGCCAGAGGCATAATATCCAGCAGGAAGGTAGGCCGAAGAGCGGTTGACTACTGAATCCCGTATGCCAGCGGCGCCACCAGCAGTAGGAGAGAAGAAGAGAGAAGACACGGGCCTCTGGGATGAACTGGTGGGAGCACCCGCAAAAGGCTTTGCAGACTTGCCAATTGGTGCGGCATTTAAGCGATCCAGAGACATGGTAGAGTTTGCACCTACGACGTTGTACATCCCCCGCTTGTTAGGAGGCATGGCTCCCATGGACTTGACATCAGTCATGTTTTGGCTCAGTGCTGCACGCTTGACGGAGCGATGTAGCGACCAGGCAACAAGGCCACGCCATGCCATCAAAGCGGCGCCGAAAAAGGCGAGGATAGCACCGACACAGATGAAAACTGTTCCATCAGGGAGATTTGATTTCTGCATAAACGCCGCCCCGGAAGTGTCTGGGATCTTAGGGACAGGAACACCAACACCGGCGAGTGTGGGAGCTCCGGCAAGATTGAAGACACTTCTCGATCCTGTTTCGGTCTGCGTTGTTGACGCAGCCTCGGTAGTCGCGGAAGTAGCGGTTTGTGAGGTTTGCGTGTTCGCGGTCGTCTGTGTAGTCTGGTCATTGGCTTTTGTGGTTGTGGCCTCTGTGGGCCGTTCCGTAGGTGCTGTTGTTGCAGCGGTATTACTTGGTTGCGTCGTGGTTGTCCCGTCGGGTGCGTTGGGCGCGTTAGGTGCGTTGTTGCCCTGAGCAAGTACAGTCGGAGCGGCTATGAGCAGCAGGCCTATGATGCCTGCCGAGGGACGCATGGCGGCGTGATGTCGTACAACGGGTACAGTGATGACCCGCAGCTGCGTAGAAGGGCTGGAAAAGGTTCAGGAGGCCCTGTCGTGGATCGACAGAGTGTCGCAGTCAAAGCAGAGTTTCGGGAGGCAGTAGATGACGAAAGATGGACGGGTAACAGGTGGTATCGATTAGGAATGAGAAGCGCCGAAAACGAGTGACGGGGTGAGACGGAGGGCACAAGGAAGAGAGTGTGAGCACAGGTTGGTTGCAGAGTGGGTTGGAATACGGGGTTCGTGACCAGGGGCGGGCGGAGTCCACAGGACCCGCGGGGGCAATAGACCGTCTGAGCGCCTGATTCGCGTGATGTTTGAAGCGTAGCCGAGCGACTGAAATGCACACACGGTAGCAATGGGGGCGAGGGAGATTGACCGTAGTGTTTCACCCAGCCATGCAGCCGTGAATGCAAATGCGACGAGGGGTTTACAGTGTTTTGGCCAGGCCGCACGGTGTTGACGTTGCCTTGGGCTGGTTGCTGGCTCAGGGATGCGGACGAAAAACAACAGTATGCAGGGCGTGGTGACGGGCGACGCCAACGCCCAGGAACGGCGATTCTATTCTGGGCCCTGCGTGATTTGCCTGCCCGCGCCTTCCTGTACCGCGCTGTATAGGGCTTAGGGTAGGCGCGACTTGAATCGGTGCCATACTGTTTTTTCATTGGCTGTAGTTCCGAGGGTTCCGAGCCATTCCGACAGCCCCATGTCTTGGCATCAAAAAGTTAGGAATCGCGCTAGCCGCAGCCATCTGCGAGCACCACCACGACACCATACACACACCCTGCATCCCACCTTGACGGTACTGCTATCGGTGGCTGAAGACGACGATATACATAACACAAGAATTCACACACAAGCTGTGCGCACTTTGAGCCGTCCTCCCCTAGTACACATCCGCCCGGCGCAATCATGGGTGTCGCAAAGAAGACTCGCAAGTTTGCGACCACCAAAAGAATCGTCGGTATGCTCCGTCTGACCCCGCGAAAAGTAAAATAGACTTAATCTAATCCTTTCCAAGGTCAACGCGATGCAAGATTGTATGCGACAAGGCGCTCAGCCACTCCTCTCCCGCCACACATGCACTAACCACTGCGCTGCAGAAAGAAGAACCAGATGGCTGGTGAAATAGAAGCTAAGAAGAAGGAAGAAGAGAACAAGGCGAAGCGCGAAATGTACGTCTCTGCTTCCCCTCACGCGAGCATATCAGCGGGAAACCCTGCCGCCTCTACAAAGATTCTCTCGTAGACCCACAGCTTACACACTCACCTCTCAGCCCACAAGTCTCCTCCGCCCTCTTCTTCCAAGCCAACACCGCCCTCGGCCCTCCCTACTCCGTCCTCGTAGACACCAACTTTCTCTCTCACACCGTCCACGCCAAGCTCGAGCTGGACAAAGCCCTTATGGACCTGCTCTACGCCAAAGCCACACCCATCATCACCACGTGCGTCATGGCCGAGCTGGAAAAACTCGGTCCCAAATACCGCATTGCCCTGCGCATTGCCCGTGACGAGCGCTGGCAGCGTCTCAAGTGCGATCACAAGGGAACTTATGCCGATGACTGCATTGTCGATCGCGTGCAGAAGCATAGGATTTATCTTGTCGCGACGAACGATAGGGATCTCAAGAGGAGGATAAGGAAGATTCCTGGTGTACCAATTGTTAGTGTGGCAAAGGGCAAGTATGTTATCGAGAGGCTGCCCGATGTACCGGATAGCCACTAAGGTGTATGAACCAATTTTAAGATATGAGAGGATATGGGGGAAAAAGTTACTGAAGGAGACTTGAGGTTCTATGCATAGCGCAAGGCGTTCAGGAATGAATTTTTGAAACATCAGAAGGGTTGTATCTAAACAAATGTGATAGAAAGGAGGGTCGTTGAGCCTTGTCGAACAAGCTCTGCCTCCCTGCTGTACACTTACTTGTAGGGTGATTGACGAATACAATATTCATAGTCTACCACATTGGTGCTACGAACTGAAGACAAAATGACACAAGAAGATTGAATATAGAAAAAACACTCCACATGAATGCAAGTAACCACATATGAAATATCGAAAGAGTGATATTCATTCAGGTAGAATATAGGCAACGTCAACCTTCCAACATTGACCTCCACCACCACGACCACCACCAACCTCAGCACGCAAATGTCTGTACTGCCTCATCTTCCACCCAGCAAGCCCAGTGCTTCGGTCTCGACCACAAAAAAAAGAGTCTATAGACCACCCGTCTTGTGCAAATGCAACACACTCGCTCAACAATGCCGAACGCTCCGAGCAGGGCGAGGATAAGAATTGCGGACAAAGGAGAAAGAAAGAAACCCATGTCCCAAGAGAGGATAAAAAAAGGGGGGGACAAAAGAAAGAAAAGAAGAAGAAAAAGGTCATGCTTAATACACCGAGCAGCTCGTCTGCGCCCTAGTAAGAGCTTGAGTAAACATAGTCTGCATAGCCATGTAATGGAAGATAATACCCCCTAGCACAGCAACATGCCAGATGTTATGCGAGCAACCAATGTAATCAAACAGGCCTGGGAAGAAGCGCTCAGGCGTCTTGCTAGCGTACAGACAAGCGCCGGTAACGTACACGAGCAGACTCTTGGTGATGGGTGCGTAAAAGTACTGAGCCCACGCTACACCGCGCGTGTAGGCGAGTTGGCCAAAGGGCAGGAAACCCGTGAGGGCAAGGGAGCAGTAGAAGATGACGCGGAGCCAGGCCATGTCTGCGCGGTTGAAGGTTGGGTGCCAGGGGAGGATGACGCCGCCGACGCCGAGGAGCGCAGTGATGCACATGTAGGACCAGCGGGAGACGGGTTCGCAGTAGAATGCGGCGTATTCGGTCGTCATGATTGAGGCGGCCACGAGGAGAGAGATGCCCGTGTAGTCGACGCAGGCGAAGCGCTCGAGGAGTGTTTGGTGCGAGATGCTGTTCATCGTGTGCCAGATGGTGGAGCAAGCTAGGCACTTGCATGCTGCGAAGAAGAAGACTGCGGCTATGAAAATGTCGGCTTTTGTCGACATGCTGAAGTTGGCGCTTGAGGGGTAAAAGTAAAAGGCGATGGCGAGGACCATGACGAAACCGAGAAGATGCGTCCAGATGTTGATGAGTTCGTTGTGGAGTCCAAAAATGGATCGGACGCATGCCCATTTTCCTTCTTGGAAGCGGTAACCCTTGAGGATGTGGGGATTCACTCGCCATGGCTCGGGTAGGTCTTCGTATTGAATCAGGCCGTGGGCTTTGGCCTGGGCAAGCGCTCGTTGGACGGCGTGCTCTACTCGAAGTTCAATATTCTCGCGTGCTCGTCGCGCTTTGTCGAGACCACCGTCGACAACTCCCTTTGCGATTTCGATTCCTTCGTCCATTTTCCGCCGACCTTCCTCGTAAAATTCGTGCGCATACGTGCCAATGGATGCATCTCCTAGCGCAAATGCGCGCGCCTCGAATTCGGTCAGGTAGTTGTCCATGAGTACTATTCCTTCCAAAACCTTTTCTCCTAGTGTTTCTTTCCGCTCCAAAGCGTCCTTGTATCGTTCTTCCAGGGTCTCGACGAACACCGAAGCCTGTCGTCGGCCTGCTTCAATTGCGCCATCCGAGATCTTGGAGCATGATTCGCGAACAGCAAGGAGCGTGTTGTATGCATATTCGACACCAGCATCATACTTGAGGTGGCCGTAGTCTTCGAGAAGATCGAGTCGGCAGTTGAGTTCAGTGAGGAAGTTTCGAAGCTGGGACTGGGGGTTAGCGCTTCTAGAAGACAGTGTTTCAGCACGTGGCTTATGTTGTACATACCAGGACCTGAAAGTTCTCAGCCTCCTGCATGCAAGGGCGCGTGTGCCATGAATGACGTCTCTGGCGTTGCGCCGGTCGCTGCGAAGCGAAAGTACCGTAACCTCGGTACGAAGGCTGGATGGGCTCTTCTTGGGATGTCATGACGGCGGAGCTGACGCCAACACTCGAGTTTGAGCGTGCCATGAGGGGCATTTGATATACAAGTTCGGCGCACAGGTGGGCGGGGTTCAGTCGAGCGCGTGGCGGTATCTTCTCCGGTACGGGGACAGACTACGAGTGTCTTGTGAGGCGCGACGAGCTAAGGCGATTGGCTAGCGTTTGCATGTGCTCAGGAAATGCCTCTGGGTGGGCGACGGGCTCTTCTTGTGGTGTTGGGGGTAGCGAGTATTAGTGAGGCTGTGGGTCTTTTTTCTCCGCCTATCGGGTATAGCCAAAGACGGGCGTGGTTACCGAATAGGTCAAGGATTGGACGGCAACAGCACGTTTGCGGCAAACGGTTTCGGGTTGAGCAAGAAGCTGGAATATGTAGAAAGTGTGCGGAAACAGGAGAAGGGGACATGGCGGCAGCTTTTTGGGCACCGTGCGACTTGGCTGTCAAGTCGAGGTGTCGGCGTCGTCATGCAGTTACCATGACCAATTCACTCTTCCTTGCAAGCGTCGGTCCCTGGATTTGCTTTGCGGCTCTGGTAGGGCTGGAAGCGAATCGCCTCCTGATGAATGGCCAAAACACCAGGAATCTAAGACATGTCCCGTTCCGAGCCGCGTATATCATGGTAATCATCGCTGAAAGCTTTGGGCAGATGCTGCTCGACTGCTGCTCTCTCTCCTCATTCTCTGCATTGGGTTAACAATCAAGTTGCGGCCAATATCGCCGATGGGAGCGTATAGAGCATCTTTGTGGCTGAGCCCAGCCTCGGCTGCAGCCACACGTGGCTAGTCTCGCCGCATCACATGCCGCCATCCGAAGTGCCCTCAACAAAGTGGCGAACTGCGGGGATGGAATGCGTGAACGGCGCCCGTTTGCCAATACAGAAGCATACATATCTGTCTTGTTGAAACAGAGTGTCTTCGGGCTTGCCATGGAAAACGTGACCAGCAACTCCTCAGTTGTATGGAGTCTGTGGCACCAATGGGCTAGCGCCAGGGTCTCACGTTGGGGCAATTGCAACCCAATCTCACATACCATCTTGAAATTTTTTGCTGCGTCGCTGGAACAACACACCCAAACACAAGCAATTTAAGATGGTGCTCCAGGCAATCAAGTACTCCCGAGGTCAGCTCGAAATCCTCGATCAGCTGAAACTACCGCATGCTGAAGAGTATGATCACATTTACTCTAGCACTGACGCATGGCACGCCATTAAGGACATGCGCACGCGGGGCGCACCAGCCATCGCCATTGTTGCTGCACTGTCCCTCGCAGTCGAACTGACCAACATGAAGCTCCCTTCGGCTGCCGAAGAAGTCAAGGTCTTCATCATTGAAAAGTTGGACTATCTGGTTACCAGCCGGCCAACGGCTGTCAACCTTGCAGATGCTGCTGGCAAGTTGCAAAAGATCACAGAAAATGCCGCGGCAAAGGAGGGAGCAAATGGACAGGCTGTGCGGGACGCGTATGTGGCTGCTGCAGAGCAGATGCTGGTCGATGATGTGAGCGACAATGAGAGCATCGGAAAGCACGGCGCAGACTGGATCGTGAAGAACACCGAGGCTGGCAAGGCAGGCCCGGTCAGCATGATGACGCATTGCAACACTGGGTGTGTACCAGATTCCCTTGGTCTGTACAGGCGACTAACATTACAGATCCCTCGCTACTGCCGGGTATGGTACGGCGCTTGGTGTGATCCGGTCACTGCATGCCAACGGCTCACTGAAGCATGCTTTTTGCTCGGAGACTCGCCCGTACAACCAAGGCTCTAGACTGACAGCATTCGAGCTGGTTCACGACAAGATACCGGCCACTCTCATCACAGATTCTATGGCGGCGGCCCTGCTTCGGTTGCGGGGCAAGAGCGAGAACATTGCCGGCATAGTGGTTGGCGCAGACCGAGTAGCCGCAAATGGCGACACAGCCAATAAAATCGGCACATACTCACTCGCTATCCTTGCTCGGCATCATGGGGTAAAGTTTCTTGTAGCCGCACCACGAACGACAATCGACTTGAAGACCAAGTCCGGAGCAGACATTGTCATTGAAGAGCGGCCCGGAAAAGAAGTGACACTTGTTAAGGGACCAAGGCACGATGGTGTCTCGCTTGATCTAGGCGTCGTCGAGACGATCAGCATTGCAGCCAACGGTATTGGGGTATGGAACCCGGCCTTCGACGTCACTCCTGCAGAACTGATTGATGGAATCATCACCGAGGTTGGTGTGGTCGAGAAGGATAGCAATGGAGTATTCCATTTGGACAAGGTTTTCGAAGCTGAAAGTTCAGCAGCCAAGCCTTCAACTATTGGTGGGCTGTAAGACCGGAGGCTTCCGTCTTCCTATACAAGAGCGATGCGCTCAGAATCTATCATCGCCTGCCCTCTGTTTTGTGTGCACCGTACTCGCCGAATCCGCGACTTGTCTTGGTTACTGTGAAAGTATTGTGGTATTTGCGCGTGTATCATCTGATTGGATATTGATAGTAGTACGTGGGCCGTTATTGTGCAGTGGGTTTCGCCGAATTCATGAGGCATTCTTGTCTGCTTTCGATGATTGCTTGTCGTCCGCCTTGCTGTCCTTCAACTCCTTCTCTGCATTTTCTGCTTGCGCAAGGAGAGCTTCAATCTTCTTCTCTATGGAATCGAGGTGGGCCTCTAGAGCGGCTGCCGTCTGCTCCCCTCGCTGCAGTTCCTTGAACGCCTTACACGAATATTAGGGCCTATCGACAAGCATTTACCGCAGACCTTACCTGGGCAAGATCGGCTTCGGCATGCGACCCGGTATCCCCGTTTTGTGCGTTTGGCATGGTGTTGGCTGATATGGGTGGTGTCGGGCTTAGAGGACTCAATGCGACAGTGCTTGAGGATGACGACGGAGCGTCTCACTAGCGCGAACCTACCCGTGCACCTTGTGGTAACCCGGCACAGCCAGACTCGTAACCCAACCTCACTACACCTTCCACTCTTCCCGCATTCGCGCACTCCTTTGTGTATTCCCATTTCCTCCCCGCATGCGCGCATCAACGTTCCTTTAATTCACCCGCGAAATAAGTCGCCCACCATGTTCTCTGGGTCCAACTCGTACTTAGGGGGCGGCAACAGTGCCCGACCCGGGCAGCCTCAGTATGGCCAGCAGCAGCAACAGCAACAGCAGCAGCAGTTCCAGCAACCTGGAGGCTTCCAGGGCGGCCTGATGCCTCAACCTACCGGCTTTGGAGGCAGCCCAATGCAACCACAGTTTACAGGCTTCCCGGGTCAGCCGCAGGGCTTTGGACAGCAGCCGCAATTGCAGCCACAGTATACCGGTTTCCCTGGTCAACAGGCCCAGCAATTCCAGCAGCAACAGGCTCCCCAGCAGGTGCCCTTCCAAACTGGCGCGCCCCCACAACAGCAGCAGCCTCCTGCTCAACCCCAACGTCCCCAACCTACGGGCATGACGTCGGCGCAGATGGCTGATTCGTTTCGAGGAAGCGGTGCTTCCTCTGTGCCACCGCCTGTGCCTGCCAAGGGAACCAAAATTCCAAACATTCGGCTCTCGTTCATTACGGCGCAAGACCAGGCCAAGTTTGAGCAGCTGTTCAAGTCAGCTGTGGGAAACGCGCAAGCTCTTTCAGGAGATCAGGCGCGAGACCTGCTGATGCGATCCAAGCTGTCGGGAGATGCTCTCTCGCATATCTGGTATGTTTGTATAGCTCCATAGCTGCTTCATCCTAACAAGTCCAGGACGCTCTCAGACACCACGAAGTCAGGACAGCTTCTCTTTCCCGAATTCGCGCTCGCCATGTACCTGTGCAATCTGAAGTTGACAGGAAAAGACCTCCCCAACTCGTTGCCTGAACGCGTCAAGAATGAGGTATCAAGCATGGTGGACATCATCTCATTCGGTGTCGCGGATACGCCCTCGAGAGGCGCTACGCCGTCGAACAATGCCCCCAAAATCAACGAGCCTCCTTCGATCCAGCAACCGCAACCACAGGCTTCGAATAGCCAATTGCTATCTACATTGGTGTCGCAGCCGACTGGATTTGGGCAGCAGCCCATGGGCATGCAGCCACAACCTACAGGGTTTGGACAACAGCCAACTGGTATGCAACCGCAGCCTACCGGCTTTGGACAATCTCCAGGTGGTTACAATGGGCCACGTCCGCCTATGCCTCCCATGCCTACAGGATTCGGCTCCAACTTGGCACCCAACCCAACCGGCATTGCTCCTCTTAATGCGCAACCCACTGGAATGCCTGGTCAATGGGGTCTTGCAAATACACCTGCTACTGGACTGCCGAACATCGAGGCCTTGGCTCAAAGGATGATGCCCCAAACTGGCCGAGAAGGTGGTAACCATACAACTGCCGGATTGACTGGCAACGCGACGATTCCCTGGGCTATCACAAAGGGCGAGAAGAAGCTGTATGATGAGACGTTCCGCGCTTGGGACGGCATGGGCAAGGGTTACATTAGCGGAGCACAGGCTCTTGAGATCTTTGGACAGAGTGGACTTCCCAAGTCTGACTTGGAGCGCATTTGGACACTTGCTGACTCGGCTGATCGCGGTCGTCTTGATCTTGACCAGTTTGCTGTTGCTATGCACTTGATCTACCGCAAGCTCAATGGCTATCCTGTTCCTGCTCGTCTCCCTCCTGAATTGGTTCCACCTTCAACACGCAACATCAATGACTCTATTGGTGCCATGAAGAACTTGCTTCGTGGAGATGCTGAAGACAGGAAGAATTCTGGCGCTTTTCTTCAACCCCAACGCACTGGTGTCAGCTATCTCAAGACCCATTCATTCCGTGCTGGAAGCCCACAAGCAGGTGGCCGCAAAGACGCCACTGTTTTCCGTAACAACGATGACAACGTGGGTTACAAATCAAGTGCCCGACATCGTATTGGTGGCGGTGGTCGTTCGCCTTCTCCTGCTCAACCGGGATCTCCTGCTTCAGATCGTTCTGATGAAATGACTCTGGACCAGCTTAGAAAGGCCGTCAAGGAGAAGCAGATTCTCCTAGATGCAATGGATGCCCGAGATGAGAATGCTGCAGACGATGATGACGCCCTCGACCGCCGAGACCGCCGAGAGGCTGATGATCTTTATCGCCGCATTCGTAGGATTCAGGAAGACATTGACGCTCATCCAAAGGCATCTTTGAGATCTTCTGACTCGGATGCAGAGCGCCGCGCGCTCAAGCGTCAGCTTCAGAACTTGACTGATCGCTTGCCTGAACTTGCGTCCAATGTGCGTAGAACAGAGCGTGAGATTGCGGATGCCCAACTCGAGCTTTTCAGACTCAAAGATGCCAAAGCGCACCCTGGATCTGCATCCGCAATTGTGGGCACTGGTCCAGGCGGCGCAGTGACTGAATCTGACCGATTGAAAGCTCGTGCTAAGGCCATGATGCAAGCTCGTTCTGCTGCCTTGACTGGAAAGCCTGCACCGGTTACCGATGATACTGGTGCCGCAGCAGAGCGCTTAGAGAAGGAGACCTCACGTATCAGAGCCGAGAGGGAGAACAACGAGCGCATGATTCGCGATGTTGAAGACAGCGTCAATGAGTACACTAGGGGACTCGAGTCAAGCCTCAAGGAAGGAGGACACGACACTACCAGCGAGCACGAACGACGCAGGTGGGAGGAAGCCCTAGGTGTTGAAGACGAGGTCAAAGACTTTATCTTCGATCTTCAGCGAAGCAGCCGGGCAGCACGTGTCCGTAAGGAAGAGTGAGTATCTCAATGTTGATTCTAATACTACGGTTGCTAATCTATCATAGCTCATCAAGGGATAACTACAGGTCTCGTTCAGCGGATACTCGCCCAGCAACATCACGTTATGAGAGCCCTGCTGCTAGTGCTGATCCTATTCCTCGTCCGGCGACATCCGCCCCTCGTACTGGAGCTGCGTACAAGACACCAGAGGAACGAGCCGCCTTTATCAAACAACAGGCTGAACAGCGAATGGCTGAACGTCTGGCTGCCCTGGGTATCAAGGCTCCGGTCAAGGCTGGCGAAACACCTCAACAGCGCGCTGAACGTGAGAAGAGGGAGCGTGAAGAGAAGCTTCGCCAAGCTGAAGAGGAAGATGCACGCCGTGAAGAAGAGCGTCAAAGACGTCTCAATGATGAATCAGCCGCGCCACCAGTCCCAGTCAAGAGCAGTGGCAAGAAGCCAGCACCACCGCCGCCAGCTTCACGCAAGAACAAGAATGATGCCCCTCAGTATGACACACAGCAATCAGATGCTGAGTCGGCTCTCCGTGAGCAACAGGAGGCACAAGAAGCAGAGACAAGACGCATGGAGTATGTACACACTGACTTACGTTTCGAAACTTTTACTAATAAAGAATAGGGAAGAAGAGCGCAGACAAGAGAGCGAGCTGGCTAGTGAACGGGAAGCCGCTCAAGCCAGACTTCGTGCTCTTGAGCAACAGGTCCAGCAAGGCAAATTGAAGAAGGCTGAAGAGAAGAAACGTAGAGAAGCTGCTTCCAAAGACGCCAAGGAGAAGGAAGCGCGATTGGCAGCACAGCGTGCCGAGATCGAGGCTGCTCGTGAACGCGAACGCCAGCTGCAATTGCAGCTGGAGGCACTTGACGATGATCAGTCCTCGGATGATGAAGGTCCACAAAACATTACTCCTCAGGATACCACACCTACCGCTAGCCAGGAGTTGCCACGCGAGTCTCAGCCTCCGCAGCCACCACCAATGCCACAGGCTTCCCATAACACGCCGCCATCATCTATTGCTAGCCCGCCTGCGTCGTCTGTCACTAGCCCGCATCCTGGCATGGGCGACACTGAGACCAAGAACCCATTCTTGAAGAAGATGGCCATGTCCAACCAGGAGAACAACAACACTGCTACTCCGCCTGGCCCAACTAGCACTACAAGCGAAGTGTCTACCAACCCCTTCCATCGCCTGACTCAAGAGAATGCCAACAAGTCTACTATTCCTACCTTTAACGAGCCGGCTGCACCCTCAGCCCGCAGGCTGGGACGACAAGATGATGATGACTGGTCTGTAGTCGACTCCGATGACTCCTCATCCGACGATGACGAAGCGCCCACACAAGGTGGAGCCAAGCAGCTGGCCTCCATCCTTTTCGGCACCATGGCGCCCCCACGCCCTCTGTCTTCGATGGATAACAAGAGCCCTCGCGCTGAGAGCCCGGCCGTAGGATCATCTCCTGCAGGTATTCCTCCACCTCCACCTATGCCCTCAAGCGGTGCCCCGCCACCACCTCCTGGCCCACCGCCACCTCTAGGTGGTGCTCCTCCGCCGCCACCCATGCCTAGCATGAGGCCTCCAGCTGGTGCACCTGACCGCGGTGCCCTGCTTGGTGAGATTACTGCCGGTAAGGGCTTGAGGAAGGTTGAGACTAAAGACAGAAGTACGGCTGCGACTGCTGGAAGGGTTCTGGGCTAAGTCGGTTGTCATGGGAGTAATCAGGGGAATGTTGAATGGATTACAGGCTTGTAGTATAATTTTGTGTAGTGCATAGATTGTTTAAGATGGTTGATTGACATTATTCCTGTTTTTTGTTTGTTTGTTGTACTTGATCCGAGTGCCCATTACAGTGATTATTTCCCTTCGTTCATCATTACTGCTGCGTCTGTTCTCTTGTAGGTTCCATCTTCCTTGTAGTGTTTTTTCTTTTGACAAGGGCGTATTCGTCTGCCATAAACAACCGGTACGTCTTGTTCCTGTACATCGCATTCTCATGTAACCCCCCTCCAAAATTTCTCATTTTTTCCTAATCTCGTCTTGCTGCTTCGTCTTTTCCTGCTGCATCTGATCCAACGGAGGCACATACCCATC